ACACTTCACGGAATCAAAATGTCAATGTCAGAAATATCAATGTCAATATAAAGAATATCAGGAATAACTTTTCTGACAAACGGAATCCGGATTGAAACAATTTTCTCGGAATCCATAATCCGGAATCCGGACAAATAAAAATTTCACGGAATCCGGCATCCGGAATCCGGAATCCGAAATCTGGAATCTGGAATCTGGAATCCGGAATCTGGGAACCAGGAATCCGGAATCCGGAACCCGGAATCCGGAATTATATTCCGGATTCCGTTTCTCAAAAAAGTTATTCCTGATATTTCTAACATTGACATTGATATTTATGACATTGACATTTTGATTCCGTGATGTATCGATTTTTCCGGATTCCGTATTTTAAAAGTCATTATGGACATATGTGGCTTTACTGTACTTTTCACAAAAGTTTTCACATGTTTTGGATAAGTTTGTTCCACGTTATGAACGTTACTATTTCCAGCTACTCTATTATGCAAGACAAATTGCGAGACTTGCAAGACTCGCATGAAAAATGCGAGTCTTGCACGTGAAACGAGAAATTGCGAGCATTTGCGAGAACGAGACGAGCCAAGCATTTATACGAGACAAGACGAGGCGAGTCCCGAAAATTTATTGCAAGAATTGCAAGAATTCTCGTTCTTGACGGAAGGGCGGTGCTCGCGAGACGGAACTCTAGTATGTAGCATTTTATTTTACGATGCACGAAGAATTTATTGAATTGTGTGTCGTAGAATAAAATTCTGGGTACGCAAACACTCTGGCATGCTGAGGCACAAATGCACGAATTCGGTCGGCTGTCGGTCGGTCGGTCGGCCTGCTAAATTTCTTGACCGAATGGAATCCTTACTGTTCAGTTCTGACGTGTTTTCAATTTTCACAATTTTAAAAATTGAAATACTTTTGGACTTTCACCTGCCGAATAATTTAGAACAACGAATTGCAAATGGTGGCTAGGACTACCCAGGTGCATTCTTAAGTTCCCACACACTTCGAAAGTGGTGTTTGTCGTAAATTCTGTCTACTTGGTTGTTCTTTTTTGAATCTTTCGCAGTTCGAAAAATATCGTAAACACTCTGATAGATCCCTCTTCTAACTTTCAATTATGAGCATATCTCATTCCCTGTAAAATATATCAATAAGTGGTCAACAGACAACGTGTTTTTGATTTGGTGATAAGCATTTTGTCAGTTGACACTTTTTGTTATCTTTCACAGGGAATAGGATATATGGATTCAAAGTTGGTATATCTGGCGAATGCAAGAATTTTTTGTTTTGACTTTTGAGCTATCATATCTTAGATCAGACCAGAAAAATGCTGAATTATTACCGAGGCCTTTTCAGAAAAAGTTCTCTGATCTTATTTCTTATGAATAAACATCTATCCATGCATCCTTATCATATCAATGCTAATTCTCAGAAAAGATATGGATACCTGGAACGGTTCTTAACAATTTTTTGTGCATGGCTTCTGCATATCTATATGCACAAAAGGAAAATCCTTCCGTTTTCCTGTTTTCTTTCCTTTTCCAGACACCTATTGTATTCGTTCTTCTTTCTGTGTGTGTGTGTGTTTTCTGTTCTTTCACCGCGATTTCTCATGATGTCTGATTGGTCCAAACATGTCAGAATTGTGTGTCTTTTGTCGCCGTCGTCAGAACTTCCCATCCTATTCTTTCCACTCTTTTTTCATTGAATTTCCATTGAATAGTGGACTCCCAAAGTGCCACAAAACGTATTTTTGCATTTTCGATTATCTCGAAACTTTTTTTCGGGTTTTTTTCTTCTGAGTTTTTCTTTTTCCTTTTTTTTCATAGAAGGTGTTCGATCGGTTCTCACATTCATCTTGACGCATGACTCGGGGATCAAATAAAAGAATATCTATCCGCCCTCTGGTATCATCGGAGGAGAATGGGATTATTCAATAAGAAGTAATCAGAATATCTCTTCATATCAAATATATTTTGATGATTGAAACCTTACAATAGTGGGATTTGGATTCAGGTGAAATGTCACAAGGGTTATGAAGGTTTTTTCGGATTTCGAAAACTCAAAGTTTGGGAAAATATAAATGGAAAACAAACTCGTTTGGTAGAAATCAAGAGTCTTGACCTTGAAGTATCAAAAGTTAGGGAACACCTGACAAGTCAGGAAAATAACAAACTTTGCCTTCAGCTCCGAGGCCTGATTGGTTCAGGAGCTCGGAAGTAATTATTGTTGGTCTTAAAATATTTAGGATGTGATGATCGTTGGGTACTGTAGAATTCGGAAATTGATGAATGCTGCTACAAAGTTTTTTGCAAGTTCAATGCAGTTCAAGCAGTAACAGAGATTTTTGGAATGGCTCATTCGAAAATTTCCGGAATTTTCCGGTTTTCAAAATTTGGGAAAATTCCGATTTCGAAAATATCGGAATTTCGGAATTCCAATTTTAAAAGTTTCGGAATTTCGAACTTCCAGAATATTCTGATTTTAAAAATTTCGGAATTTCGGTATTTTGAAATTTCACTTCCCCATCACAAAACCGCAGAAAATTTAACATTTTCGAAAACATACCGTAGTCCAAAATTCTCTGATTCCAAAAAAAGCTTCAAGAATATTCCTAATTTTTTCGAAATTCTGAGTCCCGTTCCGAACATCCATGAGCAGTAAATACCCAGTTACCTTCCTCGACCCTTTTTGCACTTTCCTCTTTTTCAAAAACCCAAAATCATCTTTGAAAAAAGATCACAAGACACACAGTTTCCCATCAAAAAATTATTCATGATGTAGTAGTACAACCCAAAAAACAAATAATGAAAGGGTGTCGAAACGTCATTGCTCATCGGGAACCCGAAATTTCAAACTCAATTTTCCTATTCTCTATTTTTTTTTGTAAGATCCGGGAGAACATACAAAAAATGTGAAACGAAAATTATAAGGATTGTTCTGTTTTTTTTTCGCTTTGCAAAACTGGCTTCTTCCTGGTTCTGCGGGGTTTTCTTTCGATTTTTTGAATTGAAATCCTATAAAATTTATGGAAGATTACAAATGAATCATAAGCAAGAACTGTTTTCTAAAAAACACAAAATTGAGCCTTCTTCTTTTTTAGAACAAGTTCTTTCTACTGAAACCAGGATTTTGTATGATGTCAAAGTAGATAAGACTTTGAGGACGACGTTCCATGTATTCCACCAATCGGATTGGAATCTGGAAGATAAGAAGATTGGAGAATCTGTGATTTGATGATTTAAATCTGAAATTTTTATTTATCAGATTTTGTTCAGTAGCTATATATTTTCTGCAAAAAAAAGTAAGTCGAGACATGTCTCTAGAGATGATGAATAACAGGAAGAAAGTTCGCGTCATTGACCTTTGCAAAAGAAGTCTTAGTTTCATACTAAGCATGTCCATACGAACGAAATAACAATATTTTTGAGAAGAACATATTTTATCCGGATAAGAGTTTGGATACTTGATATCTCCTCTTATCTGAGATAAAAAGAGCAAAGATTGTATATGATTTGATTAGAAGAAGAAGTTTTAGAAGTTTCTCGGAATCTTATAGACGAAAAAATTTGAATTAGAAGTATCGGCAACAGGATTGAAGATGGATTTTCAGAATTCCGAAAAATTTTTAAATGTTCTCACAGCATTGATTAGTTGTTTGAAATGAAATGACAGAACTTTCAGTTCCGTTCTGAAAAAGAAAAAAATCTGACCATACAGGGTGGCGCATAACTACCCGGACTAAAGTTTGTGTCAGCATAAAATTTGAATAAAGAATTGTACTGGGCTCAAATTCGGACTGCGAAAATGCAAACAATTCATCGGTAAACTGGCCAAGTTTCAAATTGCTTGATCACTTTTGAGCTGCATTATCGTTTGTCAAAGTGGCTTCAAAATATGGAAATTACAAAAAATTACGCCATTCATCTTTTGACAATCATAACAATACCTAGACTTGAGGAACCGCTTTGAAAACTTCAGTAGGTTTGAACCAAAAGGAAAATTATATTTCTACCGATTTTCGTGCTTCCAAGATACTTAGGTCTGAAGGTGCACCCGTGTTTATCACTCCGGATGATTGTGCAACTCCCAGAACAGGTTCCCTTTTTCATGACTCATTTACTAAGCTTTTCTGTCTTTTCTCACTGATTTTCTTTTCTCAATCCATCTTCTCCAGTTCAAATGCAAATTTGGAGTCGGCGCTTTTTTCGGATCGAAACGTAAGAGTCACTTCGACTCTCGAAGTGAATCCGTCAATTGGCAGTCCCAGTCATTCATCTTATTCCATTCCCCCCATTTCGCTTTTTGCCTTCATCACATGTACGATTTCCAATGGTAACTCCGTTGACTCATGACACATCTTTCCCCCCAAAAAAAGTATCAGAGACATCTGCAATTCCTGACGTCATTCCCTTTTTTTTTTTTAATTCGATTATCCCTAGAACCAAGGAAGACGGTGAGAAGATGGAAGGGCGGGGAAGAGCACCGGGTAGGAGAGAAGAGAATACCTTCAACAGCTTGGCTCCGCCCACTTTCTTCTTCTTTTCCCGCCCCTCAAAAAATGGAGAGACTCGTCTCATTCGGAGGCTCACTGAGCCCGCCTGACACCACCATCTTCTTATTTTCTTTTTTTTTCTAGATTTTGATCTTTTTTCTCTTTTGTAGAGATGAAAGTAGTTCTGAATATATAACTTTATAATCCTTTTATTTTTCTAGTTTTTTCTTCACCTGTCCCCTCCAACGCCTTCTAATCTCTTCTTCAGGTGATATTTTCGGAAATGTTAAGCTGTTCTTGAGCATAGTCTGACCTTCATAAATCGCGTTAACTTATGATATCTTTTGTCACACTTTTGTTTTTGGGAGAATTCTTATTATGAATATGGTTGCTCAGTGGATTAATTAAGATTACGGTAAACTGGGATTCTTCTTGGCTCGTTCCATCTCTGATTGCTCACCTTTCTTTTAAAATTTTTTTGAAAATCAGCCTCTGACATTCCAGAATAATGAACTCTCGTGGGTTGATCATCTTGATGCTTGGCGTCGTGATCGCTGTAGCCGTCGCCCAGCAAGACAGTGATTTGGAGCGGGGTGAGTTTAGAAATCCTGGAATTAGAGAGGAATTCTGATGTGATGGTGTACAGTGCTTACAATTAGTGTTCACACAGCGTGTTGCTAGCCCATTGTTTTTCCGCTTCAGCTTGAGCTACCGTAGCTCAGCTGGTAGTGACACGGCACCTCCAGCGGTGGTTCCACAAATTCACTTTAAGGTGTTCATATGAACGGAATTTCGAGAAAAAATTTCATCACCCTGACCGGTTTCAAACAATCCTAGCATACTTTTACCTGTAAATTGGAAACTATCTAGTTCTTTTTCCTTTTTCCTAAGCAAAGAAACATTATAGAGATGGAGAAGCGCAAGTCGGCCTACATGCGTTTCGGACGTTCGGACGGTGGAAATCCAATGGAGATGGAGAAGCGTAAGAGTGCTTACATGCGTTTCGGAAAAAGAAGCGGCGATGAGCAAGAAGACATAGTCGGAGCCGGAGGTGATGATATGGAAATGACGAAGAGAAAGTCCGCCTACATGAGGTTGGTTTTTCACCTAGACCTCCCTCACAACAAGTCATTAATATTTTCTATGCAGATTCGGAAAACGCTCGGGCGCTCCAGAGGAGGACGTGATGAGTGCGGAGAAGAGAAAAAGTGCCTACATGAGGTATGCGATTTCTTCTTTCTAGTCTTTCAAGGGAAAAGGGGAATTATGAGGAGCGATTGATGAATGAATTATGAAAGAGTAAGAACGCGGAAATTGTTTCAGATTCGGAAAGAGATCGTCGGATATGGAAATCCTCGGAAACGAAGGAATCGATGGGGCCGCTGAAGACGAGAGCCACGACCTCTTCAAGAGAAAATCGGCATACATGAGGTTGGTTAGATGGAAGGGTAAACATTTGATCGACCCTATTAATTTCTAAGTTGACGCCTAAATAACATGACGCGGGAAATTATTCTATAGATGACATAGAAAGGGGGTTGCCCAACATGTTCTGACTAAAAAACGTTCTTTTGATCTCGTATTTTTAGCAAGATTCCGTTATTTTATCTTAATTATAACTAACCTGGCTGGAGCACCTTCGGCGCGTTTTCGTCGCTCAGAATTCTTTACCAAGCAATGTCTCCTGAAGACTTCAAAATCAAATTTTCAAAAAAAAAAAAAAAGTTTGAGCCTTATCTCGCGAATTCTTTGAATAATCTGTGAAATTTTGATAAATTTTGGTCAGATGGGGACTTCGCTAGGGTCGCTGATGATTGCTAATTGTGAAGATTAGAATGATGCTTTTCCAGATTCGGAAAGCGATCGATGGGACAAGAGGAGGATCACGACATGATGAAGAGAAAATCGGCCTACATGAGATTCGGGCGATAGATTCTGGATTTGGTTTTGACGATGGACTTCCCCCATGGCTCACTAATTTAATCGTTGTTATCATTTTCCTGACTCATTGATTCCATTTTTGGATTCATCCTCTCTCCATGTTTCCCTTTCCCCCAAAAAACAGCCCCCATTCAAATGACAGACAATTAATGATTTCTTTTAATAAAATCCTAATTTCCACTCCCTGAAAATACAATAATCCCCTCCCTCTCAAATCTCTTCTTGATTTCTTTTTCATTCTCTTCCGTCGATTGATAAAGTTTTGCACCGTGTTTTTCACACACAGTATCATAATCATCCGATTTATTTTTTATTTTAATTATCCTCCTTCTTTGCGATATCCGCGACGAAAAACACAGGCAATCACAAAAAAACGCAAAGAAGGAGATAAAGAAAAAAGGAGAGAGAACCAGCCTTGGGACGCCTGATTGATGTCTCGCCCCGGGATCTTCACTGTGTATGACACGCTTGTTACTTTTGTCTTTCAAAGAAAAAAAAGGAGAAGATGATAAAAAAAAGTGACTACATAATCTCTTTCGATATCAAAATAACAATTTGATAATCTCGCAAAATCTGGGCTCTGGGGAGCTCCTTCAGGTGTTCATCTGAAGCAAGAAACAAGCAGGGATGTTCAGAATGGAATTCAAAATTCCGATCGAAATATTTTTATATTACTTTCTTATATTACTTTCCGTAAAATCTGTAATAGAAGGGCCCCTAACTTTTAACTTCAAGCCTATTTTTCTCAGTTCCTGTCGTAGATATAAAGAAGGTGTCAACTGATAAATTGTTAATCATAATATCACCAATATTTTATCAGTTGACACATTTTTGATATCATAGGAATTGAGATAAGTAGCTCAAAGTTGACAGTGTGGGGGCCCTTCTATTACATGTGTTATGATTTGTGCGTTTTCGGAATCGTCAATTTTCACAATTTTTTTGCGCGTTTATGATGACGAAAAAGTTGAATTTCTACTTTGAAAATCAAATCTTGAAAATTCCGAAGATTCCGAAATTCCGAAATTTCAAAATGTTCAAACTCGGAATTTTCTATATTCCGAACATCCCTGGAAACAAGTGGGTGTCTTATGTTTCAAAACAATGAACTTGACGTCATCTGAATTTTGCCGGTTACCACACAGATGGGTGTCGAGAAAACCGGAAAGTTCGTTGTTGTAGTTTTCAGATTTCTTACATTAGTCAGCCAAATAGTTCGAATCTACTTTGATTCAGCTCTTGCGTCAATCTATTTACCCTTACCACTGGAATACAAAATCTCCTTGAATACAAAACTTCCCTATATGACTTTCAATCCAACCAGCAGATATCAAAAATGTATCTTTCGAGAGATAACATGCCATTGAAAAAATAATTCACAGATATCCTTGAGATCTTATGGTGTTTGAACAGAACTTCTTGCAAAAAAAAATCAAACTGCTTATCATAAACAAGACGTTCTTCATTCAGCAGCTCTACGTCAGAACCTTTTCACCGAAGGCACTGGCGCCAAAAACCTAGACATAATAACTTTTGTGATCGGAAGTAAAGATGGGATAACGAGAGATATAAACTGATAATATGATCTTGGATTGATGTCGTCGGTCAAAGTATGTTCTATGAAACTGAGAGAAGAAGAATACCGTAAATGCTCTGATAGATGCCCACCACCTCGAGCTCAATTATCTTCCTCCTTAAAATAACAAAGAGTTGTCAACTAATAAAACGTGGGTAATTTCAAGAATAACATTTCAACAGTTGACACAATTTGGATATATCTCATAGGAACCGCGATAATCGACTTCAAAGTGCATGTATTTACGGTAACAATTTGAAATCCGTGTTTTGGTTTGTCCGATTTTTGAATCTTCAAACTTCCTCATTGCACCATATAAAGCACAAACTGTAGAAATTATTCCAGAAGATTTGGTTGACCTAATTACTGTATTCGGTGTGACCATTTTGATTCGTGATACCTCAAAGTTTAGGCGCCGTAAACCGGAGCCGTAAAACTTTTTTGCAACTTTCTTCAATCACCCCTTTTTGAATCAAAATAGATCTATTCCATCATCAACTTTTTTATGTATTGAAAATACATTTCCCTCGTGTTTTTTTTCCTTTCATCAATTATTTTTGCCACTCTCATCAATCGCATCGTCTCCCCTGAAAGTACGGAAAAAGTGCATCAAATGGGGCTGAGGAAACCGAAACCTTGGGAGAATTTAAAGAAAAAAAACTAGTTATTTCTAGTCATGATTGAATTGTGTGTCTTTTGTTATGTGTTATCTAGATGGGCAATACAAAAGTTCTGGAAAAGATTCTGAGGAAAAAAATAGAGAAGAAAAAGGAAAAGGGAGAAGATTAATAGACGGGGACGTAGGAGGCAATCGGTGGGGATAAGGAACTGAAAATAGCTGAGCAATCAATCTCATCGTGTCTGCACTTTTGCAGTTCGATTGATGGAGAAGAGTCCCTGGAAAAAAGTACAAAAGAAGGGGAATCAGAAAAACAACGGTTGCAGGTAGATGGAGGTTGGTACGAACATTTTGTTGTAATCAATTTAGGTGTGTTGGATGCCTTGATATGCTGTCCGATGTCACAAAGTGAGGACAAAGGTAGGGTAAAATCTGAAACATCGAAACAAGGCATCAAAAGTTATTGTAACTATTACGACACGACACCTTCAAGAATATCAAACATCATCTGGAATATTGCCGATCACGTGGTTACGGAAACAGGCTTCAGTTGACCAGAATATTGAAGATTCAAGCATAATTTGTGGCAATTATGTTCAAATTGGAACAATACACAATCTGAATAATTTGTTTGTCTATTCAGAAATTATAAGCGATCAAAACATTTTCAAAAAATTCTAACAGAGAAGATTTTTTCACAAAAAAATCTTCAGAAGGAATTTCCGTAAAACCTGTAATAGAAGGGCTCCTTTACTGTCAAGTTTGAGCTGAATTATCTCGGTTCCTATGACAGATATCAAAAATGTGTCAACAGCTAAAATGTTAGTGATATTCTGATAAAAAATTTATCAGTTGACAACTTTTTCGTACCTTTGAAAGGACCTGAGATGAATTATCTCAAACCTAAAAGTTAGGGGGCCCTTCTATTGCAGGTTTTACGATATGCTCAAAATTCTGAGCTATATAACATTAACATGAGCTATATAGCTAGTTATAATTGAGCCCAAGCTTTACGGTGTGGAGGCCCTTCTATTACAGGTTTCCCGGTAGTATGATTTTTTGTTTGGATTTACAAGTCATCAGTCGTGCCATCTGCATTCAATCGCGATTTGTTTTGTTTGTATCATTCCACCTAAAACTGCAAAAATCTTCAAAAAATAGTGCAAATGTAGGACCTAATGCTGTCGCTTGCTACTACCCATCAACAATCCGGTCTGGTCATGACAGTAATCTGAAATAGTGGAGGTAAGGGAAATGTTTTGTGTACACCAAGGAACCAAGGAAGGAAACAGTCTGTTCGATCAGAGAACGTTCACACTTATTTGTTTATTTCAGACAGATTCAGACGACGTGCTACCCAGATTGAAAAATTTTAAAATTTCTTTGTTTTTTTTTTGAATTCACCAGAATTTATGACTCGACTCTCCTAATCTTCAACATCCATCTTCTTCAGCTCTTATCTTTGTTAGTCACCTCATTAAAAGTACATCCTCTTCTTCTTTTCGATCCTTCTCATCTGATCCAATTGACTCCATGAATCATGTTTCCTTTCTTACAATAGCGTGGGTGTCAGTGACTTCTTCCTGCACCACCACCGTCCTCCACCAATAAAAATCAGCATCGCTTTATCGCCGTCTCCTTCAAATCATCCATTGAAACACGCTCTCCACTTCTCAACTTCACCCATTTTTTCGCTTCGTCTACCGTACCCTTTCCCATCCTCCTCTCACGTCTCGCCTAGTATTCACCTGATTGTAGTGGTCATGGCCGTTCGGAAAGTGCAACTTGGGAGGTTGGAGACAAGAGGAATAAGATGGGAGACACGACGGCCCGCCTGATCTTCAGGAAACGGGCGGAAGGGGCGGAGCCTAGGGATCTGCATCTGCAGATGACCACTACTTAAAGGTTGAGAATAGCCTGAAAAAAACAGTGTGCTTCCATTAACCACTCCTATTCTTCTCCAGTATGTACCGATCTATTCTATTGTTCTCCCTACTTGCTCTCGTTCTTGCTAAAGTTGCTGAACCTGAGAAAGATGACCAAGTCGCTGTGAAGGTAGGTTTCTAGACTATTGTTCACTACCACTTTCTCTTATTTTTCAGATTCCAACAAAACGGTCAGTCTCCGAACCACCGAAGGATGACGACGTCGCCGTGAAGATTCCAATGCGAAAGAAGCGGGGAATCGCCATTCATCCATGGCAATGGGAATCCCAGTAAGTGACCGTTCCCTTTTTCTCTCGCCTCTCTTTTCAACACCCCTGAAAATGACCCACTCGATATAACCTGTTTCCTCTTTTCAGTCTCTGGCCCAACGGTGAAGTTCCATACGACATTGCCTCCCACTACACTGCCACAGAACGAGCAACCATTTTGTCAGCTATGGATGCTTTCAAGGATGTCACCTGCATTCGTTTCCGTCCACGCCGTTCCACAGACAGAAATTATCTCCAAATCAACAAACATTACCAACTCGAACGTTGCTTCTCCTACATCGGCCGCCAAACCAGCCGTTGGTTGTTCGGAACTCCAGCTGGAAATGTTGAGACCCGAATGAAACTCGATCCAACCTGCCTTCTGTACAATGGACGGGGAACTGTTATGCACGAGCTGATGCACATCCTTGGATTCTACCATGAGCACCAGAGAGATGATCGTGATCGTCGCATCGGAGGATCCGCCTTCCACTACAACTTCAAGATCTACCAACGCGCCAAGTCGTACTATATGGGTGGTTATGATGCCAACTCGATCATGCACTACAACTTCCAAAATGTTCCATGGCAAAAGAGAGACTACTTCTCTCCATCCGACATTCGCAACATTAACACTTTGTACAAATGCAACAATCGAGTGATCAGCCGGATCGCCGCTCCTTCAACGACTCAATCTACCACCACAACTACTACGGTAAGTGATACGCAGACAAATGTCCTTCCTAATCACCACTTAATGATTTCGGAGGTCGGTCAAGTTGCAATAATGAAAAAAGAACCTGTTCCTTCCCGTGTCATTTTGCAACTTGGCCAGGCGGCGATTTGAACTTGATAACCAACTTGATTTTATTTCAGAGACCACCTCGATTCGAATTGTACGAGAAGAAGGCGATCGAATCGAACAGCTTGTTCCGCAGAAGACGCTCGTAAATAGGCTCGACGACTTCTCTTCTAATTACTCATCACCGCCTCTTCCTTCCCAACATCTCTTTCCATTTGCTCTTATTTGTGTATCCGATCTTTGTGCTTCAACACACGTCCTTCGCTTACGATTGTTTAAACCGATCTCACCTGTTTTTTTCTATGTATGGATTAATTATTTATTTAAGGTAATAAATTGGTTTTTTTTGCAAATAGTCGAGTAGCTACACTAATCACAAAGTATATCCAAAGTATAAAGATCAACTGACATGATTTACAAAATCTCGCTTCCGGCAGATCTCTCGAAGGTCGTCAAAAGATGTGGGCGGCACGTAGGCGGTAATTTATTCGAGAAGAAAATTAGAAGAAGGACTGGTTGCTGGGTAGACACCCCCTCAAGAGAGAGTCACGTGACCAATTCAGAAACAAGACTTTTAAGAAGCGAGAGCGAAGAACAGAAGACGGTACACAGAACAAGGACAAAACACTTCTGGGAACGGTCCATACGGGTCAATCTTTGGGAAGATGAACAAATTGGTTTTTTAGACTCAAGAATGGGCTAATTTGAACATGGTGTGAATGGGGTGAAAGATTGGATTTTCTGAGAAGAATACAAGTTAGCGACGACGACGTCAAGAAAACTCTCGAGAAAACTTGATCTTCTAATTGGGCAGCTAATTAAATACCTTTTGGCAAATCAATATAATTAGTCAATAGATGAAACAGGGTATGAAAGGAGTACAGGGTAGCGCATAATAAACCGGACTAAAGATTGTACAAGCATAAAATTCGAGTATAGCGTCGTACTGGGTTGAAGTTTGGAGTGCTCAAATTCAAATAATTCATTAGAAAACTGGAAAAGTTTCAATTTATTTGATCAACTGCTGAAGTTATCGCTTGTCAAAGTTGTTTTATCTGACGAAAATCCCAAAAATATTACTCCGTTCATCTTTGGGCAATCATAACGACGCCTAGACTTCAGGAATCGCTTTGAAAATTTCAGTAGTTTTGAATCAAATGTATAATTATATTTCTATCAATTTTCGTGTTTCAAAGATACTTATGTCAAAAGATATACCCGCTTTTATCAGTCCGGGTAATTTTGCGACATCTTGTAAGGGGTAAGTTGTTATAATATTTTTTGACCAGTTTTCTGAAAACTTGAAACAGAGCTCATTCCAATTTTTGGCTGTGATGTCCAGTGAGGAATACTGTATCAGAAGCCGTTAAACGCGGAATCAGTTATCCTGGAAATCTGACACTATTAAAGATTAAACCATTAAACCACCGATATCCACAGGTGTCCATAATTTTATTTGCCATTGCAGGACATGTTTTAAAATCCTCAAGACTACCGAATATCCGAAAAAAAAATACTGGCTCTGGGACATTTCGCCACCGTGATATTACAGGCGAATGTATTGATTTCAGACTACAATATTAGATTTCAGACTAAATTTTAGATTTTTTTTTTCGAATCTCAAGATGTGTCCTATCAGAGAAATAAACAAACATTGTATTTGAAACCCCTAACTTATTTTGTAGTCTGGAATGTCCGGTGTCGAAATGTCTCTGACCCGAAATTTTAATTTCAGGAACACTGTGATCATAAACCTTGCATCCAATAGGTTCACGATCCGATGGATCTTACAATTAGACTTCTGAAATCGTAGTGTCTTTAGACATCGTCTAGAAGTCCATAATCCTACAAATTCTGTATGACTACGATTTATAGGTTCAATGGCCTTACACATAGTCATGCCAGTCTATAGCCAGATCTATCCCAGGAAGTTCTTACGAATAGTCCCCTTCTGTAATATGTTTTGATTCTGTACCCATTTCCGTTCCTCAGAACGGAACACCTCGTGTTATTATTTTTTCCTGTTCCCCCTCCTTCTTTTTCTTCTTATTCTTCTCTTCCCACCATCACATCATTTTTTTTAAAAACGGAGCACATACATTTGCTCCTAGTTTAACCAAGTGGTCGTTTTCCAATGTATGCATAACCCGATTTGTCGGTCAGTCTTCTATCGTTCTCCCTGTTTCTTTTCGACTTCTTCTTCTCCATCTTTTTCAGGCCCCCGTAACAAGGTTTCCTTGTTTTTTTCCCTTTCGCCGCCTCCGTCGTCTTCATCCTTTCGTGTTTCTTCCCCCGTTGATTTTGTGGCACAAATCCTGACCAAATCCTTCTTGTGAGAACCCCACCTCTTGTCTGTTTTATTCCTCGTTTTTCCTGGTTTTTTCGTGTTTTTAAGGAAGCTCCTTTTTTTCTGTGCTAAACTCCAACAACTTCATTTCCAACCCACTTATCTTTCGCTCCGTCCCATTTGACTCATTTGCAGTTGCCGTCGTAAGTGGTGCAACGCCGTTAGTTGACGCCTTCTGGATACTCTCTTCTGACTCCTGTTTTCTGGTAAGTTGATATTTCTTTATTGAAGTATTTGATTACAAGTCAATATTTGGAAATCTTCAATAAAATTCTGGCAAGAGGGATCAAGATCCATAGCTTCGAGAAATACTAGGGAAGTTAGATTAAGTATCTCATATCTGATCCCCATGATTAGCAATCCACGAGGTTCTGGACACATCTGGTAATCCATGAGATCCAAATATCCAGATTACCAGAGATTTTAATCAATCATTCATGGTGCTCGCCATCGCTACATGTTTATACGTCCGCCCATGTTCTGGGACATAACTTGAAAGCCAATAGAGATATCGATCAGAATTAGTCAAAATCGGATTTGGAACTAAGAGTTACAAATTCATTTCTAATAGTTAGATTAGGTCTAAAAGATGACTCGAGTTATCTGGAAAAGTCTGAAGAATGCTTCATGCACCTACGAAGATCGGTAGATCATGACCTCTAAACAAGATGGAGAAGTCCAATCGCTGTAAAAAGTTATTTTTATTTTTCTTAGACTCGTACATCCTGTCATGGGATCTTTTGCCTACTAATGCTAAATAAGCTTCAATCGATGCATCCAAACTTTTAGGTGAGCTTAAAAAACTATCACATAACAACTAAATTATTCACACAGACATATTGACCTTTTTATTATCTGGACCAGCTCAAAGTCTTTGTTTTCTTTTCTTTCAGGGTTCATTGGCTCTTAAAAGATTTGAATTACGTTTTTGAAAGTTCCAATGCCCACCTTTTTGCACGTTTCTCTTTGCAAGCTAATTAACTATAACGGAGTCACAAACCAAAATTAAAACTTAACTTCGGAAACAAAAACTACTTCTTTTGAAAACTTAATTAGTTTTGGTGTTCTTTGCACTTACTGAGTTTTGTTTTGAAAATGTTTCAAGAAGTGATTCCATACTTTCTTCTACAGTAGTCCAAGTCCAAAACCCTTTGACGCATAATTACCCGATCTTAAGTTTGTACAAGCATAAAATTTGAGTAAAGCGTTGCACTGGGCAAAAATTTGGAGTGCTGAAATTCAAATAATTCATCAGTAAACTGACAAAGTTTCAAATTATTTGAGCAACTTTGAGCTGAGTTATCGCTAGTCAAAGTTGCTTCATCTCATGAAAGTTACAAGAATCATTACGATGTTTATCTTTGGACAATCATAACAATACCTAGACTTGAGGAATCGGTTTGAAAATTTCAGTAGCTTTGAATCAAATGTAAAATTATATTTCAACCAATTTTCGGGTTTCAAGGATACTTATGTCTAAAGATATATCCGATTCCCTCTCTAGTCGTATCCACGTCTATCCTTTTCAAACGTTCACAACCCCCCCCCCCCCCCCCAAATGGAGAAAAAAAGAAAACAAAGGAACAAAAAAGCATAAGAGTACATCTATATTTCATCCATACAACCGGATGTGTCTTGCTATAATTCTAGGTTGTCCCAAAGCTGCATTTTGTCATCTTGCACCAATATATTCCCTCTTTTTTTCTCGTTCTATATTCGATTATGTTTCCATGGCACTCAAAACTGGAAACGACAGAGAAGATTAGTCCATTTCCCCTCGAGCTCCTCTCATTTTTGAAAACAAGGGCAGGGGAGTGGAGAGATGTCATCAAAAGGGATTGGAAAGAGAAGCACATAACATAGCGCCTTTTTTGTTCTACAATAAATTGTATCCGTTTCTTTTTCTTCTTCTTCTTTTTTTTCTTTTCCTTTCTTTTATAAATGAAAAGATTGGGGCGGTGTTGGTGGTGGTTGTGGAGGGTATTAGGTAGGATCAGGTGCTCCTCCTTTTCTCATCAAAATAATGAAGATGATGAGCATAAGAATAAGAGAAAGAAAAAGAAAAAGAAGCCGTGAGCGTGCAGATCCATAGAGATTCCTAGTGGAATTGAATCAGCTGATAACAACGAGAAGCCTACTTTTTTATGATAATCATACCAGATTTCAGAGGACGAATGAGAGATTTTTCAACCGATTTTCTTTTCGAATGATGAATTCTAGTATAGCTTGAAACGGTTGAGTCAGATAGGTTGCCGAAATTTTTTTTCCTAGTTTATTTGAACTAAAAAAGTTTCTTTCAAAAGTTAGCAATAGTGGTCAGTTAGCAATACTGGTAAACCGTTTATCATAACATTTCAAACATTTCATCAGTTTACCAATTTTTTGTATCTTTCATGGCAACCGAGATAATTGAGCTCCAAGTGAACTAAGGGTTTTTTTTCTAATAAAAAATTTTAGAATGTTCAGTACTTATCCACCCAAAACGTTGACTTTGAGCCCATATATCTCATTCCCTGTAAAAGATATCAAAAAGTGATCAAATGACACTTTTTTTGGTATTATGTTAAACATTTTATCAGTTAACAACCTGTTCATATCATTTGTAGGGAATGAGATATATGGGCTCAAAGTTTCAAGTTTGGGTGTCACTCTATTTGAGTGTTTACGCTAAGTTTTCAAGGCAGAAATAATCTACTACTTTCGACTGGTACTGTAATCCTTCTGTTATCTAAAACTATAGATCTTCGAATTCTGATTACCGTAACTGCCTGAATTCATCAGTCTAGACAGTTACGTAGTATTCTCTAGCTTCTATTGTTTTCCTTGTTTTTCAGAAGGATTGTTTTTGAAACCCATAGTCAGATAAATCTGCTTATCCGTTTCATTTAGTTTCTGCCGATCCATGTAGCAAAGAAAAATGCTTGATATGATCTGAAACAAACAGGAAACTCTTCTAGCATATCTCCTATTTTCTTCGTTCTGATAATTTTAAGAACGTCACCCACGTCTTCTTCCTCCACATCCTGAAGTTTTCAATGACGTTTTTTTCCTCTACGAGTTCACACTTTCCGTCCCCACTTTCCATCCTCCTCATCTTCCTTCTATTGATTCGTCTCTCCTGATCCGCTAATTTTCGATACTGCTGCTTCATCTTCTCTTGCTCATATTTTTCCAACCAACACACCTTTTTTTGATGCCCATCCCGTCGCTAATCGTCTCTTCCGCCAATAATCCATCTAAATAATCCCAGTCCATACATTTCTCTTTTTTCCATCAATTTTGCTCCTCTCTTCTCCTTTTTTTCGCGTTCTTCACCATCTACAACATCACGTTTTTCACTTCCACTCATCTCCGGATAGCTGCCTTTCATCTTTCCAATATTTTTCTAACAATTTGTTTCAACTTTTTCCTCCTCCCTGGTTTCATTTTGCCCTTTTCCTCACCAATCAAACTACGTTGTCTTTTTTGTTGCCAAAGAATTGTGGAGTGCAAAATAGATGACGAAATGGGAGGGGACATATCTGAAGACGTCGAGGTTAAAGTGTGGAAAAGGAGGACGGAGGGAATGCAAATTAGTCAACCAGAAACATGCATCCGTTATTAGTTTTGTGCTTCAATCTCATCTACTTATCCTCTTCTCTTTCTCCTCCGCTTCTTTTCCACTCCTCTTTTCATAATCATAAGATTTCTTCAACTACTCCCCAACAAGTCAGATAATCTTCTAACTTCTTTATAGTAAAATTTTTTTCGAAATGGCTGGAGAAGATTTTAAATTTTCTCAAAGTCAAAACATTCTACATTTCAGAACTGTCGTCTTCGAAGCAGCAAGTAGTGCTGAGTCAGGCGTCGGCAGGCTCTGGCTCCGATTCTCGAAAGCCGTCGAAGGTCAATGTGCACGTGAAGGACGGAGGAGACGCCAGTCGCCGGAATACCATTGACCTCCAGATAGGAGAGGGACGGTCCCGAAAGAATACTTTGGTGAAGGTGAACGGAGAAGTCGTCAGTGTAACGCACTCGGCGAGTAACGACGTAAGTTGAGCACGGCTTACAGAAGAAAATTTATTCGACTTTTTTTGAAGTTGTGATATACATTCTGACGTAACGTTGTACAGTGTTTAGTGTTCACTATGCGTACAACCCGCTCCAGCTTTGTCCGCGTGGCTCAGTCTGTAGCGGCGCCGCACCTTCAATACTCGCCCCACAAGTTCAACTCCTCGTGAGGTCTATATGAGAATGTAATTTTTGGTGGTATCAGGGATGAGAACTAGGAGAATAAGAACTGCTACATTTGAGCACTGCAGATACGAGAACTGCTACAAATAAGAACTCTTACATATATATTTCGTTTATTCGAAGGATTTGAAGAAATAAGGAGTGATGGTAACCGGGGAAAGAAACTGGTAAAAAAAAAGAGAACTAGTTCTAATCTTATTTATTTATCATGTGTAGTAAAACATTAGAGAGCAGGACATGAAAGACTCAGAAAAGATGCCCCTCACGAGGCCGATCTGAGTAGGGGAGGGGAAACGGGATAATTTAGAAAATTGACACAGGAAAGATGTAACCGGTAGAAAAAAAAGAGAAATAGGGAGCAAATATATCAATAACGGGTAATACTGGAAGAAATTAAGGATTCAAACTCGGAAGGTAGGAGAAATCGGGTAACTTGGGAAGTGAGTAGTTGAACGGCTCTCATATGTAGTTCAGGATCTAACACTTTGTAAAAATTAGTTTGGAAATAATCTCGTTCCTCTCAATATTTCAAGATTTTCGAAAAAGGTTTTGAAATTTTTTCAGCCAATTTTTAGAGTTCATCTGTAGCAGTTATCATTTAAACAGTTATAATTTGTAGTAGTTCTTATTATCCGAGTTCTTATATGTATGAGTTCTTATTAGTAGCAGTTCTCATTTTTGTAGTTCTTAAGTGTGGCAGTTATCATTTTCCTAGTTATCATCACAGGTACCACCTTATTTTTTGTCTCCCAACCTTTAAAAGGATTGTACGCACTTCTGCAACACTTTCAACAAAAAAAAGAAATCCTTCAAATCTGAGATCTCACGGCTTCCAAGTGATTCATGAGGTACACCGGTCCACTAATTTCGGCTGCTTTTGGTCTAATGACGTTTCCAGACGACCCACAACACTGTGTCTACAAGTCTTTGAAACTTCGTTCACATTCTTTTTTTTTTCAGGACATGAGTAACTCGCCGAGGATCCCACGTAATCTGTCGGTTCGAGCTAAGGATCAGCAAAACGTTCAGAATAATCAAGAAGCTAATGAAGAAGGAGGAAATTCTGGAAGACGAATTGATAACACTCAGGTTTGGTTTCTGATATTTCCCCAACTATTATTACTCTCTAAGTTTCAGTCATGGCCTTTCTTCAATCCATCCACTCGCTTCCGTCTTCTCAAAATAATATTCGTTTTGATGTGTCTCGTTGACATCATGCACTGGGCTTATCTCCTTCGGGATGATACTAACGAGAATCCGAACTCATGGAGATTCTATAAAAAATTCAAAAGCTTCGATTTGTATTATCTGGTTGCTCGAATGTTCGCGGACATCTTCACATGTGTTCTCGGATTAGGAGCTGCCATGTGGACACGAAAACCTCTATTGACTCTTCCATGCACCACCATTCAGCTCCTTTTCTTGCTCATCAGAGCTGCTGTCTGGTCGGTCAGAAGCTATAATCGCGTGCTTGAGAAGACTCATGCCACCAACGAGGACAAGGTTGTTTATTATCTGGTCTATTATCGACAAAAACATCACTTTTCAGCTCTTCGTCGTCTGTGAATTCTTGCTTCCTGCGATCTGGGCCCTACTATCCTTCCTCATCGTCCACACAACTCGACGTCTCCGTTGCTATGAACAACTTCACGGATATGCTCGTCCACCGATCATCGTGCTCACCGTCAAAAATGACGATAATGACGAGAGCGTTCAAATTGAAATCGCTTAATGCTTTTCTCGCATAATCATCGATGCAGAACGGGTGCTTCCCGAACACATTCAGTCTCATTACTCATTTAAATGTTAAAGGAGGCGAGACAGCAAAAATTTCGGGGGACAGTTCGGGGGACGAAATCGAGGAATTCTTTTTTTTTGTGTCTGGCCTCCTTTAAACTTTTCATCATTTTTCGTTTTAGCTATTTTTGAGAGTAGCAAATTTCCATATTTTTCTTCACACCATTCTCAGTTACACTTGCAATAAATTGAATAAAAATATTCGGAACTATTTACTTTTTTCGTTTTCCATACATGTCGCGGGCCTGGCCGGTGGAGGAATTTTCACTAGCCCGGCCCGGCTGGCTGGTGTTTTTGAGACAAAAACTTTTGAGAGCCATTTTTAGAGAGAAAACTGGATTTGTGGGAACATTTCATCAAAAATTTCTTTGTTTTCAGCTTTAAGAAAGGTCCTGGGATAAATTTCGTGCTTTAAAATGATTATTTTGACAAAAATGTGTCAAAAAATCAACAGAAAAATTTTGGAACCCGGGCCGGGATTTAGCAAGTATGATGTTTTCTCATCAAATTTCACTCGATTGTGGAAAACGACGTTTCTTCGAAGCATGTTGAAATGTTATTCAAGCAAATTCCTTGAGAAAACTACAGTAAACTTTTTGTGCGCTGCGAGACCCATTAAATTTGCCGATGGGTGCGCCTTTAATTTTTTAATTTTCAATTTTTTCTTGTCGGTTTTCGCCTGCAAAAAAGCCAATCTTCGTCTCCACTGACATCGAAAAATGATTGAAATTCCACCGGAAGAACAGTACGAAACCGACACTATTTTTTCGCAAGAAGGAGATACCCCAGGTTTGTTTTCTAATTGTGAAAAACGCCTAAAACGGATTTTTTTTTCAGAATCCTACCTAGAAACGAAGCTTCTCGATTTCGAATCGGACAATGAAGTTTTTTCGGACTCGGAAAGTAATTTGGTCCGTTAATCGATTCGATATTTTTAATATAGAAATCATTTAAATTTTACAGAAAAATGAACGATTTTTGACCGTCGATTTGCCATCACCAACCACCAAAGTAGACAGCGACTCGTTCAGAAGGCTTGTAGAAAATGTAAGGGATTGACTATTTTTTTTCAAATTATCCATTATTTTTCAGTCAAAGTTCGCATGGTCTAACATTGCGTCGGCGTCTTCAGACTTCGACAGATTAGTGTTTCAAGACGATGAGTACGACATCGCACAAGATAGTTTCCGCTACGGAAGGTAGTTTGAAACAAAAACTATTTCGAAAATAAATTCGATTTTCCAGAGTGACTGCAGGTACCAGTTACAATCTCATCACTGGCAAAATGCAACAAGAAGTTATGGAAAAAGTGAAAGAGAAAGATGAAGACAATGATGATGAGGATAAAATTGTCGAAACAGTTACTGAAAATGAAGATACGCATATTGTCACAACCGAGGTGACAATTCCGTTGAACGGCAGTGGAGATGGAGAGGAGAAATCGAGTGTGTTCGATGAGATGTACGAAAGCCAGATGCCAAAATTTTTCAAATATCGAGATCATTTTCCGGAAATTCAAGGAATCTGGACACTTCTTTTCGATCAAAATCATTACGGCGACATGTCAACCTTCGAACTGCAAGCATCCATCTGTGCTGCTCTTAATTCGAAACATCATCTGATCATTTGTATAGGTGTTGACGACTATAATACTGTCACTGGAGTGGAGATGTCGGCTACCGATCGAGTGGTTTTCCGAATGGCTCTCTCGAGAGCTGTCGCTGGAGAATTTCAGCCACCTCTGATCAAAGTATGTATTCAATCTTCATCTCCTTCACAAAATTCAATTTTCAGCTTCCACCGAAACAACTGACTGGAGTATCGCCCATGAAACGCGATGTTTCCGAGATGATGTCAAACATCGACGTGAAATTCATTCCAGTGTTCGGAAAACAAGATCCAGTAGCTGCGAGCAGTGATGCTGCTCCACCAAGTCGCTTTTTGGTAGTAGTTCGAGTCAAAGAACTCACTGAAAAACTGTATCAGTTGTCTTCCGGTCGCATTTACGTGGAAGAAGATGGCCGTGTCGTTGAATTAGCAAACATTAATGAGGTTAGTTGAGCGGCGAAAGTCATGCGAATGCAGTTATAATCCGGTTTAGTTCAATTGAAATCAACATTTTTCAGGCGTTCCGTAATCTGATTATCAACAAGACTCCGGAACAAGCGCCTATTCTGGGAAGTGTTTTCATGCTCGAACCAGAACCATTTGTAGAAGACGCTCCTATTGACATAGAGGAATGCTCAAGTGAAGAAGAAGAAGAAGTTGTTGACTTTGAGACAACCACCACACAAGAGACACCGAAAATCGTCGAAGCTGTTGTCCAAGATATTGTTATCCCGGAAGAGTAATTTTTCATAAGGGGATTTCAGAAATATGAATTTTGATTTTTCAGAGAAAACAATACGCAAATCGTTGCCATGATTTCCGATGTTGCCGAATCGGTTATCGCTCGTCTCGACAGTCCCCGCGTTCAAAACTTTGGATGGTTCCTTTTTGCAACGGCCATTGCTTACGGAGTTTATCAAGCTGTCAGACCGAGATTCTAAATGCGTAGCAATCAATCTGTATCATTTTTGTTGCCTCCGTGCACTCAATTTTTTGTTTTGTTTCAATCATTTATTAGTGTTCAACACAATACATTGTTTTGTTTTCATCGACAGGTCCCTTTATAGCAAGTAGCTGGTTTCTTGCACTCACATCCGTAGCAATTGCCTCCAGATGCCACGTAACATATCCCTTTAGGTGCAACTTTGAAACCGGCCTGAAACGGAAGAAGGAAGGTGATAAGAGTGATTTTGTTCACCGTTGATTCGAAGAAGCAAAACAGGAAGAATATTATCAGTAGTATTTTCATTTGAAACGTTTCAGAAGCGTTATTTTATGGGAAATAAGTCATGTTGCCTTTTTATAGTGAGATGTAAATCCCCAGACGGTCCGGTTGGGAACAGAGGATTATAGAGAACGTAAAAACATTTGTTGTTTCTGTATTTCAGAGATTTTTAACCTTACAAATCTATTTTTTATTGAGCCGTAATTTCTATCTCGGTTTAACTTTGTAAAGTGATTAAGGGACACTAAACCCATGATTCATAGGTACTAAGTTCCTGGGTAAAACATTTTTTATTATTATGCTGGTATGTAAAAATCGTAGCTGTGAAAGAGAAACGCCGATGGCCGTAGCTGAAGGTCCCACAGCGAAAACTACAGTAACCTGAAAGTGATTTTATTTTCCAAATGTTTTCCTCGGTTTTTTTTACGTTTTCAGTCAATTTTCTGTGTTTGTTTGGGGAAAATAACAAGAAAATCGACGCAAATCGGTAAAAACGAGATATGAAATCCGGGAAATGAAAAAAAATTTGGTTACGGTAGTTGTCGTCGCACAATTGTGGGAATTTCGGCCACAGCCACCCGCGTTTCTCTTCCACAGGTCCAATTTTTGAATACCATTTAATAAACCCAAAGGATTTTCAAATTTTGTTTCAATATGTTTCACAATATAACCAGTTTATTTCGTGTTGGGACCAATACAAACATTTAATTTATGCAATTGGTGCATATGGAACCACTGCGGGATTCTATGAGGAAGACGATGTCTAACGGCAAGTTCCCTTGTAGCAAGTGGCTGGTTTCTTGCAATCACATCTGTAGCAATCTCCTCCTGGTGGAACATAGCACAATCCGGTTGGTGGAACATTAAAGGATTGCTGGAAATTTGGGGTGGAAATATTGAATTGAATGGAAACAATACTTTATGGATATCTAACTTTTTTTTTTAAATATTATTCTCGCCCGGTAACGATGAACCTTACGACCGAACATTTATTTAAAGGCTCGTCATCGGTACTTGAGCGAAAACAGGGAAAGGTTTTTTGAGTGAATGATCTTGAATAATCAGACGAATTTCCTTATTAATTAGAAAAACAGCCAAAAATGGGTCGAATTTAATTAATTACAAGATACGGTATCCAAGGTGCATGCATTTTGTTGAACTTTCGCAGTTTTAGCTTCAGGGCCGACGATGCGCCTTTGAATATCGCCGCCGGACAAGAATAACACATTTCTTCAAAAAATAACTTCTAAAAAAACAAAAAACCGTACCACAACTGATGCCATCATAACGAAAAGAACAGCAAGAATAAGCGAGAGGAACTTCATCTGAAACGAACAATTTCGAATGAGGACGACTGATCAATACGTTAGGAAACGGAAGTAGTATAAAAGAGAGAAAAAGTTCGACAACAACGAACAATTATTTGCCTTTTTGTCCTTCCCTTTGGCCGTTAATAAATAGTCGCATGGAAAAATGGGGGAAACCAAAAGATTACGGTAATCGGCTTTAAAATTTGGATCAAATTGACTCCTCCTCTTCATATGACCCTTTTACCAGAAGAAGAACTGATAAGGAAATAAGAAGATGAAAAGCTGATAATTGGTTTAAAGAATGACATCAGATAGAAGGGAAGCTAGACTCTACGAGAAGAAGCAAATCGATGGGGAAAAGTAATTGGGCAAATAGTAACATCATCCGTCCTACCTGCATGCAAACAAAGTACGAGTACTAAACGAGCGTGTCAATTATGATTTTTTGAAAAAAAGTTTTCTATGTCACCCCTGTTTACAGACTGTACTACTCTACTAGTTCCGTTCACATGCCGAAATACTATGAGTCAGGAAAAAGGTCAAAAGAGGAGAATTCCCTACTTTATTTTATGACTGAAACAGTGTTTTAATGGTTTAAAAATGTTCAACACAAAATATGAAAAAAAAAAGGTGGAAGGGTTATCGGTTTTCACAACTGTCATGAATGTTAAAAAATGAGCGTTTTCATACGAAAAATTTTTTGTTTGAAAACGAAAACTGTAAAAACAAAAAAAAGACAAAACTCAAAAAATAAAAAGCTATGACTCAAGACAGAAAAATGCCGGGTATTTATAGGGAGAGAGAGAGAGGAAAAAATAAGAGTTCACCGGAAGACTGTCAATGAGAGAACTTTGATCATTTGGTCAATCACTCAAAGATCAATTTGTCTGATTCTTAGAAATCACATGTGACCTTTAAAAATGTTGTTTTCGTTAAATCTGGAAATAATGAAATAGATTGGTTTCCATATGTATATGGAAATGTTTGGAACATTTCTTGTTTTTTCATTCTGTTTTCGGGAACAATTACTCTCTGGAAATTATTTCCCGAATAGTTTATGTATATCAGACAAATGAACTTCAAAAAACTCATCAGACACCCCATAAATACTCAAATAATCCAACAAACCAAAATAAAATAGGTCTTCTCTTCTTGAAAAAATGTGATAGAACAAACTGGTTCTCTTCTGAACTATGGTCTTGTGAAGTTCTCATGACTTGCATATTTGATGAAATTAGAAAAAAAAAACAAAAATGAAATCTGAAAAAGAACACCTGAAATCCTTGCTGATTTTTTTTTGGAGATTTCATTAATCTCTCAAACTGGGAACATATGGCTGTTGGAGATTACTGTAAGACGACTGCCTATAATTTTTTTGCTTTTCTTTGTTTACATTTCAGTTGTATTGAACAGAAAATTAAAAATTTTACAGCTCATTGCCATCCCTATCTACCGTATTTCCTCTGATAGAAACCCACCTAAATTGTCAACTTTAAGCTCAATTATCTCGGTTCCTGTGAAAGATATCAAAACATTTTTAGTTGATAAAGTATCATCATAATATCACCAATATTTTATCAGTTAACAGATTTTCGATATCTTCCACAGGAATCGAGATAATTGAGCTCAAAGTTGTAGGGTTGGGTGGGCTTCTATTAGAGGAAAAATACGTTTTTTCAAAGTAGCCAATTTCGGCTCTAGTATGAAATTCTGGTTCTCAAGAAAAATACTGGTCCTTAAAAAAAATTCTGGTTCTTAAAAAATGCTGGTCCTTAAACGGTGTTCATGTAAATATATATTTTTCATCTGAAAATTTCCTAAAATCGGTGAATTTCGTTATTTCAATTTGTTTTCAAAAGATTTCTATGGTAGACATCAAAACATTGTTTTATTCAAAAGAAGGTAATTTTCAAAAGATGGTAATTGGCTAAAAAAATTTTGTCATGACCTAAAAAATCTAGGTCAAGACCTAAAAAAATCTAGAACATGACCTGAAAAATCTAGGTCAAGACCTAAAAAAACCTAGGGCATGACCTGAAAAATCTAGGTCAAGACCTAAAAAATCTAGGTCATGACCTGAAAAATCTAGGTCAAGACCTAAAAAAACCTAGGGCATGACCTAAAAAATCTAGGTCGTGACCTAAAAAATCTAGGTCAGGACCTGAAAAATCTAGGCTGTGACCTAATTTTTCAGATCATCGGAAATGATCAACTTTCACCGTTTTCTATATTTCTTTTTTGTTTCACGCTCAGTTCCCATGAATTCTCCTTTATTTTTTGAAAATTCTTTTTAATTCCAAAAAAAAAGAAAAAAACGAGTTAAACACTTTGAGCTCAATTATCTCGATTGCTGTGAAAGATATCAAAAAGGGGTCAACTGATAAAATGTGTGTTATAAAATGCTTGACATTTTTATTTAGGACTTTTCTGACATTTATATTCTACATTACAGTTCATATTCTATTGAACGATAAATTTGAACGACTACCATGAAAATCTTAAAAATAAATTGAAATAACGAAGTTCACGAATTCGGAATTTTCAGACGAAAAATATATAATTACAAGAACACTTTTTAAGGACCAGAATTTCACACTAGAGCCCCAATTTCCTGGTGTCTCAAAAATTTGTACATACTTGTCTTTTTGATCTGAAAAAAATGTTTTTGTCCAGGTCTGTGATTCTCCTCCCCCAATTGTTGATTGTTTTTCATAGTACGGTCGTTACCAAATCAAGAAATCAAAATGGAAACCGATGCCTCGTCAGTTTGATCAGATTAGTTTGCCCACTCTAGCTCCCCTGAACTTGCGAACTTTTGTCTCCTCATACGTGTGAATGTTGGTCAATCCGAATCTCAAAACATCCTCGCAAGATTCTAAACAATCCAAAAGAGACAAACACGAAAGTTAATCGTGTCTTCTTCATCTCTCTTCACTATTCTCATTCACATTGTAAAATGCTCAAAGTAATTGGTGAGAGAGCATTGGAAACCTGAGAGACACCCAGACAACACACGTTTTTTACACTTTTCTGATGGGGAGATTCGATGGGATGGAGATGCGGGAAAGGGGTCGTTTCCCGGCTCATTTCATTGCTTGTTGATTCTGGTGGTCAACAAGAAATCCGAGAAGAAGAAGGAGGAAAAGGCGGAGGAAAATGAGACCAACGTCAATTGACCCGGCTTTGGCTGAAATTGGAAAGAAGAATGGTCTTCTGGTTTGGAGAATTAACGTGAGTATGGAATTTTCAACTAATGAAATGTTGGTGTTACTATGATAACTAATTTTTCATTTGACAAAATGTTTATATCTCTCACAGGAACCGAGATAATAGAGTTTAAAATTGACATGGTGGGGGCCCTTCCATTTGAGGTTTTACGGTATTTTCCAATGATCCAATTTATCTAGAATTTTCCTCCTTATATTTAGAAACTTACATCTTTGAACTTTGAGATGTGTCATATTTCTCTCGCACTTGTTTGTACCAACTGTTTCAAAAGATTACTCTCTATCTCACGTACTCATCAACTTTTCAACATTTCAGAAATTCGAATTGGAGCCGGTTCCGGAAACTGAGCATGGAATCTTTTTTATCGGAGACGCGTACATTGTGCTTAATGTGAGATATCTCCTATCATTCTGGATCTTCAATATTTTGATTTCAGCAAAAATATGAGGGATGCTGGGATGTTCATTTCTGGCTCGGCAAGAACGCTTCAACGGACGAAATTGGAGTAGCTGCCATCAAAACTGTAGAAATTGATGATGTTGGTGAATTTTAAAAAAAAACTCTCAGCACAACAATTCATTTTCAGTCCCTCGGAGGAATCCCAACTCAGCACCGTGAGGTTCAAAACTACGAATCTCCGCTATTCCTTTCCTACTTCACGGACGGAATCCGCTACGTAGCCGGTGGTTATGAATCTGGATACAATCATGTCGAGGATCAATTCAAGAACTGGAAACCTCATTTGTTCCATTGCAAGGGAAAACGTAATGTGAGATGTACGGAGGTAAGAGGAAGGGCGTAAAATGAGCAGAGCACAAAGATTGAATTTTGAAGGTAGAGTGTGAAGTTGGATCTCTCAATTTGGGAGATGTCTTCATTCTTGATTTGGGAAAAGATATCTACATCTGGATGCCACCAGACAGTGGAAGATTGGAAAGAGTTAAGGGAATGGCTCGTGCTAAGAATATTGCCGATGTTGAGAGAATGGGAGCATCCAAAGTTCATATCTTGGATGATGAGTGGGATAACGACCCAACATTCTGGAGCTACTTCGGTGGAGTTTCTTCAGTGAAGAAGGTTACGAAATCCAAGGATGATGATGACAACTATTGGAAGCGTCTCTCTGAGCAAATCACTCTTTGGAAGGTTTCCGATGTCACCGGAGCCGCCAAAGTAACCATGGTTGGGCAGGGAGAGAACTTGAAGAAGGAGCTATTGGATTCCAAGGACGCCTTTATTCTTGATGCCATCAATGGAGGTATTTTTGTTTGGATCGGTAGGGAGTGCACTCTTGAGGAAAGGTCCAAGGCTCTCATCTGGGGACAGAACTATTTGAAGCAGCATGTAGGCGACATAGCGATAATGCAGAATTAGAAAACATTATTTTGTTTTCAGCACCTTCCAAAGTGGACTCAAGTCACCAGAGTTCTGGATACTGCCGAATCCACTCAATTCACGCAATGGTTCCGTGACTGGGTTGATGAGAAGAAGAAGAACACTTTCCAGCCTCTTCTCTTCCAGGTTTCTGATGAAAGCGGACTCCTTCATGTTGAAGAAATCGCCAACTTCACCCAAGAAGATCTTGATGGTGATGACGTTATGATTTTGGATGCGTTGAACTCGATCTACGTCTGGGTTGGATCTAATGCCAATCCTAATGAGAAGAAGGAGGCATTGAATACAGCCAAATCGTATTTGGAGAAGGATAAACTGCCACGCCACAAGAAGACGAGCATCGACACGATCTATCAAGGACAAGAGCCACCTACTTTTAAGAAGTTTTTCCCATCTTGGGATGATGCTCTTTTCAAGAACGTTAGTACTCTTAATAAGTACAGTGACCATAATAATTTTTAATTTTCAGCAAGTCCGCTCCGTTGAGAACATGCGTCGTCTTCTTTTCCACTAATGGATTTCAAAATTCAATATTTTTGTACCTCTTTTTTTCACATGTCTTTTCATTGTAAACTTTTGATGATGACTCATTAAAATAAGAAACAACACTGCCACTCATTTGTAAAAATGGAGGAAAGATGAGGCTTTGAGGGGGCGCATCAGAAGATCGTAGCTAAGAAGATCCTTATCGAATCGTTCGTCTCCTACCCTATAAGACATGTCGTGGTCGATTTCTCTTTTGGAAATAAGTGAAAACGTGTCGTCAAATCGTTTCGTTTTCATTTGGCAGAAGCTTTGATGAGGAGCTTCTGCCTTCAGGCCTTTTCCGCTTCCGACCTTGAAAACCTTGAAATAACAGTTCAGAACACGCGGCAGAAGGTAGATTTGGATCTGTATCAGATAAGTGAACATCACGAAATGCTGAAACGGAGAAAAAGAAGAAGCTATAGACGAAAACTGGAAGACTGATTAAGGTACATAGAAAAAGAAATGGATGGAGACACTTCCGATGAAGATTCCGCACATGAAAGGTTTGAAGATGTATCGTGATTTTTAAGAATGCGAAATAGAAGACGTTATAAATTTATCCAAAGTACCGGGAAGTAAGGCTTCCATTTGGTCGGGAAACTTAGCCGACCGACCACCGACCCAGCCGACCAAACATGTGAATTTCATCAACATGGAAGAGATTTTTTGCGTATGCAGCATTTTTTGATTCAAAAAGTTGAAAAATGCGTCATGCGCCATCAAGTAAAATGTTGTGTACGCAAACACTCTCTGGAATATTGAAGCACCGACCGATCGGTCAGTTGAGTAGGTGCTGATCGTCTGGGTCGGCGGTCGTTCGGTCGGCTAAACTTCGACGGAATGGAAGCCTTAACCGGAACGTTCGGATAGACGATGATAGGATAATCAGATGAATTTCATTTTGCATTCCGAATCCGTTTTTTCAGATGTTTCTTTTTTCCGATTGTACGTATCGAGGTTTCTGAACTGCTCAACTGCTCCTGATACTTCATAAACTTCTTGGAACCCTTTTCTCCCATTTTATCAGACATCAACATCAAAGTACCTGTCATTTATATAGACAAAAAACTCTTAATTTCAATTCGAATTCCAGTTCGAAGGCTTTTAAAGATCAGAGATCTTTCCTAAATGAACAGTATTCATCTGTTTGTTGACTTCTTCAGATTGTGCGATGATCTGTGAAACTTTCATTTCGAACCGATCATACACAAATTCCAAGAAGGAGCTACTTAAAAACGGTATCTTCATCGAACATCATGTTCCTTTCAACCTTATTAACGAAGAAGAGGCTTCATTTGAAGTTATCTATTCTCGAATCTCTTTTAATTAACCTTCAGACCCTTTAATTGTCCTTCGTCTACCTGTTGTAATTCCCTTTTTACATCATCGGAAGCTTTATAGCCTCCACCTATAAACATACTCATTTGAATACATTTTTTCGGGTCCCACCTCCTTTCCCAATTTCTGGTATGTCCGTTTCACCTTCTTCTTCTTCTTCATTTGCTTATTTTGTTCTTCAACCCTTCTTCTAGCCATCATCCTTCCTTCTTCTTTTCCACCCTTCCATCTCCTTATTCTTTCTTCCATTTGGCGGCTAAGTATTCAGATGCGAAGCTGAGATATTGGGCCTCAAAAAGGGGGAACAAGCCAAAAGCCCCTTCTCTGTGTCGTGTCGATTTGCAATTCAGAAGTACATCGTTTTTCCATGTATTTCTCTGTTTCTGTTTCGTTTTCTCGATCTTTTTTCAAGAATTTCTGATTTTTCAGGATGGAGCTCGACTTGGGTACAGTCTCCGCCTCAAGGCTGTTTGCCATGTACACCTCAAATCTCGTTTGGTCCCTATTTTTAACGTCTACAGCTCTTCATGCAGTTGCTCTCATTACTAGTCCTGTGTAAGATCCTGATTTTATTAATTGACTGATTGTTTGATGCTCTCTGTCGAAAAATCGGGCCGTGTGTAGCTTACTGTGGACCAACTCATCCGTTCTTATGGTAATAAACTTAGCCAACCAGCCTGCCCCAGAAATACCTTTACCAAAATCCGCGGCCCTCTTTCAGACAGCCTTGGCCTGAAATGATTTGAAAACGTTATCATAACTATTGATGATCTTAACTGCCTTCAAATCATCCATTAAAAGACGTACACACCGAAAAGTTCCTAAAATCTAAAAAAAAACGCCGCAACTATGAATTACTTGTTGATTCGAAAATCTTCATTCCAGCCAAGCAGTCTACAAATGGGTTCGACGACAAAGCAGCGACAGTGATACACCCATACCATACATTTGTGCAGTTATTGGGTGAGTTTCCTTAATATTTTTTTGACATAACAAGGGACAGACCTTCTAATTCCTGTCAGCATTTTATGGCGCTCCCAGTAAAGCGTAATATAATTTTGGGACTACAGAGTGGCGGAGAGTTATCCGGACTTATAAAAACGAGTACATCTTTAGACATGGGTATCTTGGAAGCACGAAAATTGGTAGAAATATAATTTTACGTTAGATTCAAAACTACTAAAATTTTTAAAGCGATTCCTCAAGTCTAGGCATCGTTATGATTGCCCAAAGATGGATTGCATTGTGATTTTCATAAGATGAAGCAACTTTGACAAGCGATAACTCAGCTGAAAGCTGATCAAATAATTTGAAACTTAGTCATTTTACCAATGAGTTATTTGAATTTCTGCACTCCAAATTTAAGCCCAGAACAACGCTTTACTCCAATTTGCTGCTAGTACAAACTTTAGTCCGTTCATGCACCACCCTGTAGAATTCTAGAAAAAAAATTTAACGCGCGCGGCTAAAAGAGAAGTAAAAACTAAAAGAAATAACAAGATATTGAAAAACAACATATTAGCTGTCCTTACTGGAATAAAATTTAGATTTTTTACAGATTTGGAAGAGCTTGTTTTTTTGTTTACATTTCTTTGAATTCCTCAAAAATTCTTTTAAAACTCTCTTAATTCCTTAAATTTCTTAAATTTCCCTTAAAACTTTCTAGAAAATAAACAACAGCAGCTTTCTTTTCAAAAACCATCCCACATTATAGTTCAGCGCCGCCATAAAATCCAACCAGATCAAACTATTCTTCCAATATCCGATTTTATTTTCCGATCGATCTCTTTTTTGGAAAATAGGAAAAAGAAATACGGTTCTTTTCGAGATAGCATCTGTTTGCCAACCCACATTTGGCACGTACTGAAAAACGACGATTCTGAACTGGAACTGGCTTACTTTATGAGTGCAATTTTCGAACTTTTAATTACTGTAATTGGAAAGCCAGTGCATTGCATTATTCATAGTCTTTCAGGTCAGCGTTATGGCTCCGGTATTCCGTCTTTCTCCGCGACACAAAACTGATTCTTCTGCAAACTTATGCAGTTTCAATGCAACTATTTTTTGTGGTTGCCCTTATTTTCTACCGTACCAAAAGAGTTAATCAAGCAACTATTTGTCAAATAATCAATTTCGAAATTTTCAGCGAAAGTTGATTCGTCTCATGACTGGAATTGCAGCAGCAATGTCTTTGCTCTTCCTCTACATTGACAATTTGAACGACGAGGACGGAAAAGAAGTAAGTGTCTGCGTCTCTCTCCAGCCCCACTGTCTCTAACTGTCTGTCGTCTCTTTTCAGTTCACTGGACGCATTGCATCTGGCGCACAAATCGCTGGTTCTCTCGTCTGTCCCTACCTCATAGTAAGTCGTTATTCTGTGTTTGGTCGGCGGGGGTATAGCTCAGGGGTAGAGCGCTCCCTTCGCATGGGAGAAGTCTGGGGTTCAATTCCCCATACCTCCAAATTTCTTTTTGTTCTTTTTTCAGTACAAAGCAATCACGTCAAAGTGCATAGACTTCGTTCCACTGGCTCCAGTGGTCTTCACATGGGTTATGGAGCTCCATGCGATTGTTTACAGTATTGGGATTGATGATTTTTACATGCTGGTTAGTTGGATAATTGGATTATCTATCTGAACTTCTGAAATTTGTAGTTAGCCAACGTTATATTCTTCTGTATGGACGGTTCACTTCTCTCGATGTTCTTCGTATATCCCACAGAAAAGAAGAAGAAAAACTTGAAGTCACCGATTCCGACGGTCATGTAAACTGCTTATTTCCATCAAATCTTCGTGTCTTGGTCTAGGCATCTCAGGTTCTATCAATTTTCTTTCTCTCTTTCCACTTCCAACTATGTTGTTTCTTTTCTCTCACCAACAATTCTCACATTTTCGAAATAAACGGGTACCAGTTTCGTCTATTGATAGTGTGATAAATTTTCTTTTTTCAATGGTATAGAAGAATTTGGTTGAATGCAAAAGAAGGAGATACAAGAATAATAAGAGAAGTGGCGGAGATTCAGATATCAGAAAAATAAAGAAGATCGAGAAAAGGAAAAGAAGAAGAAGAGGAAGAAGAAGAAGATGTTACATTATCATTTCGTCGCGTTAATCGGTCACTTATACCGCTCCCGTTTTAATCACAGACACACGAATTCTTCGGTTTTGGTTTTTCCCTCCTCCCCCTTTTTTAATTAGAATTGATAGTGTCCGATCATCTCATTCCTATCATTCGTTTGATTTTTGTAGGTAAAAGAGAAGATTTTCGGAGAGATGCAATGTTTCAATGTGTGTTCTTCTAGAAATCGGAAGAATCTCAGTTACGAACAACTATTTCAGAAATATAAACTCCAGGTGAGATCCCTTTACTTCTTCCGGTTCCTTTCACACTTTCTCGAAGAGTTTCAGTTTTGTTGTTTCTTTGTATTCCTACATTTTCTTCTACCATTTCGCATAATTATAGAGGTCAGAAAGTTCTTTTCGAATTCTGCCATTCATCCATTTTTCCTACCTTCTCCTTCCCCACCTTCTTCTTCTCCCGAACTTCCTTTTCTGTAAACTTTTCGTACGAATGAGCTGTTTCACTTCCACCAGCAAACTATTCATTTCCCATCAGGAGCAAGTTGTTCAAACAACTTCGATCGTTTCTGAGGAGCATCAGAAGCAAGTGCAATTGAAGATTCTACCGGAAGAACAACCAAAACAACAAGAACTAACGGATCAAATGGCCGGTGTCACCGCAATTGAGATTCCACAATGGATTCAAGATAATCAAGGGGATTTTGTGCCGCCTGTCTGTAACAAATGCATGTTTTCGGATCAGCTGAAGGTGTTCTATGTAGGAGGACCGAACCAGAGAAAGGATTTTCATTTGGAGGAAGGAGAAGAGTTCTTCTTTCAAAGAAAAGGAGATATGGTTCTGAAAGTGATCGAGAAAGGACAGGTTCGGGATTTGGTCATTAAACAAGGTTAGTTTTTAAATTGATTTTATCAGTTTTGACTGATAGTCCTGAATCAATAAATTATTATTATTCAATGTGTTTAGTAACAGATATAAGAATTTTAATTTAAAGGAGATGGGGGACAGGCGATTTTTCGAGTCAACAAGATTTAAAAAACCGTTTCTTCAGTGGATTTTAATCTTTCCAGGAGTCTTGAGCTCGGCTGTAATGATTCTGATCACTTTGAAAACTTTGGAGGATGTAGATGCCTAGGTTTAAAACTTTGAATTCACAAAACTGTTTGAAATATCCTAATTTCAGCTACTTGCCGATTTCTGAAAGACATATATTTTTATGTTTTCAGTACATAAACGGCGGTTCAAAAATTCTGTGAATGCAAAGTTTTCAAAATGTTTTGAAACTTGAAATCCGATGTCCAGACTCCTGAAAATGATCAAAATAGCCGAAATTCAGAGGAAAAAGTTGTTGTATATTTTACTGACCGGTAATGTAAGTATAAAGCCACCCCCAAAACTGTTCATAACTTTTTAAAGCTGCATTTTTTGTAAATCTGAAAACAGAATCGTAATCAGCATCTGAAATTACTTTAGGAAAATGAACTGAATATCGAGAACATCATTTTTCATGTCACTCCTTTATGAGGCTCTTTTGTTAAACCAGAAAGATTTTTACATTATAAACTTTGAAATTTCAGGTGAGATGTTCATGCTCCCAGCTAGAGTCGAACACTCTCCACAGCGATTCGCCAACTCCATTGGGCTGGTTGTTGAGCGTGAACGAAAGAACACTGAATTCGATTGTGTTCGATTTCTTGTCGGCTCCTCAAATGTGACACTTTTTGAAAGATGGTTCTTCTTGACCGACGTCGTCAAGGATCTTCCACCATTGATTAAGGAGTTCTACAACTCGAATGAATTTAAAACTGGTTCGATTTAAGAATTAGAATATTTCTTTAAAAATAAAAAAATTAGGTAAACCTGGAAAGGGAACATTTGCATGCAATGCTCCATACGAGGCGAGATGGACTGATCTGCCCGTTCCAATCAACAGAAAAGAGTTCATTTATGATCATATTAGTGAAGTCAAGTAATATTGTTTTTTGTATTGAAGTCTTATGCTTCAAATATTCAGGAATGGTCCGGTGAAAATCTACGGGGCTCCAGAATACAAAACGGAAGTCATGTTGCTTGGCGAGGGGTCATATGATTTGGAAGCCGGTGCTGTAGAGTTGATTATTTGGTTGCAGGTACATTTTTTGAGCTTAAGATTTTAATTTTACCCAAGCGGTTTGTTTTCAGGAAAACACTTTCGCAGTTGTCGAGGAGAGCGGGTTCACCTATGCTCTCAAGTCAGAGACAATGGTCCGGATAAAGCCAAACACCAAGTAACGGGCACTCTTTTAATCGTTCATAATAATAATAACTTCCAGATGCCTTCTAAACGTCAAGGGAGGATTCGCAATCACCATCAGAATGCCTGGATAAGAACTTCAACCCCGCACATCACTTCCAATTTAGGTTGATCAATCGAATGTCTTTTTACCCCATTGATTCTAAATTCTCTTTCAATTTTTTTTTGATTTACAACAAAATGAATGACATGCAATCGTGTCGTTTTCTCTTCAACTGATAACACAATTCCGTTTTTGATGATAACTGTCAAAAGTCTCGTGTAACACGCGCCGCCGAAGATCCGATAGTCATTTCTTATGTTTTGTTCTTTTTTTTTTCGATGATAGACCAATCCGGATTAAACTCCGGGAGTTTTTTTTAAAAATATAATCAGAAAAGTAGCTTGAAAATTATTGAAATTTTGTATTATACCGTAAAACCTGTATTAGAAGAGCCCCATTAACAGAATAACCCATGTAATAAAAAGGCTCTCCTGAGGTACCTTGGAACGGTTGGCTCTTGTAATACAGGTTTCACAGTAACTGCGAGTTTTAAAACTTTTTAAGCACAACAATTAAGTCGACTGGGAGTCTCATTTAAAAAGGAGACTTTCAATCGACTTAATTTCTGGTAAAGTAGATCTGAAAAGGGATATTTTCCCAGTATTGTCAGAATTACAAAGTTTATTAATTACCAGAAGACAAATATGCAAGTGAAGCATTTTTCAACATTTTAGTCTTTAATTTTTTCAGGTGAACTATCTGAAGAATCATCAATATAGGTGTGGCCGATTCTAAATATCCTAGTTTCATCTTTTAAAAACCATCATTACATCATAATGTCTACAACTGAAAGGATAAAAATTTTTTTGATTCAAATTATGACCTTAAAAGATGGAGGGCAGGAGATTTTTGGCTTTTTTTGAAGCTAGGGTATGCATTCTGACGTAATGGTGTTTTTTCATGTTTCAAAAAACAAAACCATGTTTTGGCTGTAACTTATCAGTGACCTATATCGCCCAGGTAATTGTTCTTCTTGTAAAAACAGTCTCTAACTTTTTTTTCAACTTTATATGCTCAAAAATCGTTTCCTTCTACTTTTCCTTATCAATTCTGCCTTTTTTTCTATTTACATTCTTTTTCTTGACAGACTTTCCTGTTTCTCCATTTTAAGAATCAAACGAAATGCTTTAGGATTATGAGTGCAGGAAACGCGATAAAAGACGATCCCCTATCATATGATCATTTTCTATTTTCAAATGCTTTTTTCAACTTTTTTTTGAGAAGAAAGAATAGTTTTAAAATATAGACTACAGTTGACCCGAAAAGAGGGTCCATTATGTGTCTGGACACTCTTGTTTGCCTGTGTACTTTTATCAATCATCTTATCGTTATTTTCTTCTTCTCCTGATTTGACCGTCGGCCACACTGTAGGGTGTTTCTCCCATCTCCCTGTTCCATTCTACTATTATTTTTGTTTTTCCAGTCATCGTCAATCATGCCACATGAGTCTCCATACCCCCCTGTTAAGATCCCGGTCCGTCCGTACCATGAATTGCTACTGGATTCCATCGACAAAACAATTGCAGAGGGAAAGAATAAGATTGCTTTTATAAGCGGAGACAATCCGAACTACTCTCTTTCTTATGAACAACTTCGTAAAGATGCGTTTGCTGTGGCAGTCTATCTGCATAACATTGGATTCAAGAAAGACGTCGCCGCAGTGGTTCTTCCCAATGTCTGGCACTACGCTTCCTTTTTCATTGGATGTTCCATCAACGGAGGAGCTGTGTCTGGTGCTTCTGCTTTGTTCACTGATTGTAAGTTTACTCTAAAGACATACATCTTATTCTATTCTTATTTTCAGACGAACTTCAACGTCAATTCGTGGATTCTCGTGCCAAAGTTGTTCTCACCTACGAAGATTTCCTTCCAAAAGTTCTTCTGGCAGTTAAACAATCTCCCAACATCCAAAAGATTATCGTAATTCCAAAACCAGTTGGATCTTCTCTTCCATCTGGTGTTGTCTCCTGGCATGAAGTCGTTTCTACTCCAGTCACAGCTCTTCCCCAAGTCCCAATCGATGTGCATAATGATTTATTGGTGCTTCCATATTCCAGTGGAACCACCGGACCACCAAAAGGAGTCATGCTCTCGCATTACAACTTTACCTCAATGATCTCTATGTATCTCGCGTGAGTTAATGATAAGAATCGGGTACAAAGAGCAAACACTTTAAACCTGGTATGACGTAGGGCTGATAATCACAAAAAAGGTCAAACAACTTGTATAACAAATCACAAATTTTCAGAATCGACAAATCCCACAACTTGGATGTTCTCGATCCTAACTGGGATTGTTACAAGGAGAAGGCTCTTCTTTTCCTTCCATTCTACCATGTTTATGGATTCGGTCTCCTCAACCATTGTATTCTCAAAGGAATGACTGGAGTTGTCATGAGTCATTTCGAGCCAAACAACTTCTTGACTGCTGTTCAAAACTACAAAATCCGAATTCTTTGTCTTGTTCCCCCAATCATGGTGTTCTTGGCCAAACATCCGATTTGTGCAAAGTTCGATTTGTCTTCTATTCAAATGATTATGGCTGGTGCCGCTCCTGCCGGAAAAGATTTGATTGAAGAGTTGAAGAAGAGGTATCCAAACATGAAGTACATTCAACAGGGATACGGAATGACTGAGTGTTCGATGGCGAGTCATCTTCCAGATTTGAGAAATAATCAACCATACGGATCTGTTGGAAAATTGGCATCGAACTTGGTCATGAGAGTAAGAGCGTCTTTTGATTCATCAGCTAAACATCATTCAATTGAATTCAGATCGTGGAACCAGGAACTGACAGAGAGCAACCAGTGAACCAAAGAGGAGAAATATGTGTTCGTGGACCTACTGTCATGCTTGGGTACCTCGGAAGACCAGAAGCCACAGCTTCCACTGTTATCGATGGATGGCTCCATACGGGAGATATCGGATACATTAACGAAGATGGAAACCTCTTCATTGTAGACAGACTCAAGGAACTCATAAAGGTCAAAGGACTTCAAGTACCACCTGCTGAACTTGAAGATCTTCTTCTTTCTCATCCAAAGATTCGCGACTGTGCAGTTATTGGAATCCCAGACGCCAAGGCTGGAGAACTACCGAAGGCATTCGTTGTGAGAGCTGATAACACGCTGACAGAGCAAGAAGTCAAAGATTTTGTCAAACGTAAGCAAGAATAACTGGTTGATGTTCTCTATGTGCATTATTTCTCAGCAAAAGTGTCTCCCTACAAGCAGCTGGAAGGAGGTGTTGAGTTCATTGAAGAGATTCCAAAGTCTGCAGCTGGAAAGATTTTGAGACGATTCTTGAGAGACCGATCGACTGCCAAGCTTTAAAAAATTTTAAGGATAGTGATTTTCGTTTTGTACATGCTCATTTATTCAGTTTTCAATAAAAGAATATCAAACAGGCTTAGAACAAACATCACAAGTCATTGGACACGCGTACTCAATTCTTAATTTGTCATCAGTCTCACAGAGCCCAGTTGATTTGTATTCGCCGCAATTCGAGAGACGATCCACACAACTTCCAGCGGATTTTCCACAAAATTCACATGTTTGAGCACAATTGTATTTCATAATTGGCTGTTGGGAAGCAACTGCAGTGCACAAATCCAGAGTTTTGAATAGGTCACAATAGGGATGGAGGTCACGACATTGGCTGGAGACGGATACGATTTGTAGTGAAATCAAGAATACAGAAGGAAATAGACGAATCATTTTCAGAATGTTCTCGAATGGTTTTCCTTTTTTGATTGTGTGAGAATGTATGCACATAATTCATATTATAATGTGATGGGGACGCTCTTATTGAATACATAGAACATGACAAACACCTGCTCAAAAGAAGGATGTGACGTCATCTTGGATTTTGGGGCGAATCAGAATTTATGAAGGTCAGGATTGAAGAAAAATTCAATTAAGTTTTCGCCGAGACAGAATGAAAATCAGATACATTTAGAAAATCAGTTGATCATAGTTTCACACTTTCAGGTGTCGCTCTCCAATTGAGATCAAATGTTTTCTTGTGGACTCTTTACAGTAATCTTATAAAAACCAATTTTCTAAAGCCTTTGTGTTTGAACTCCAAATATGTTTCTAGAATTACCATCTATTGTGTTCAGGCGTACCGTATTTCCTCTAATAGAAGCTCATCGAAATTGTTAACTTCGAGATAAATTATCTCGGTTCCTTCAAAAGAAATAAAAAATTTGTTAACTGATAAAATGTTATTGATATTATGACAAGCATTTTATCAGTTGAAAAAATTTCTGATATCTTTTGAAGGAACTGAGATAATTGAGCTCGAAGTGCAAGGTGTCCTTCTATTAGAGTGACTGGTATAGCCTTCTTCTTTAATTTGAACCAGTCGATCTAGGCCCCTTGCCGAGGGCTCAGCTTCCTGGCTTACACTTACTGTATCTTAGATTTGAGTTTCAAATTTCAGAATTTTGGAGTTTCCAAAGTCACAAAATTTTTAGAGTATTTGAAGGCTTTCTGAATTTCTGAATTATTGAAATTTCTGGTTTCTAAAAGTTATGAATATATAAATTATTGAAAACATTCGGTTTGAATATTCTCTCGCTAAAAAGAGCCAGCTGAAGAAATTAGTTTTGCTTCTGAAATGATTTCTTTGATTTCATAGTTTGTGTGCCACATGATCATTCAGGAAGCTAGAAATTCTAAAACCACAAACTTCAATTTCAAATCTTACTCATTTCCAACATATTTTCGTTCCATCTTGTTACTTTCTCATGAATCACTAACATTCCTACAAGAAAAAAAAACAAAACAGCTCACTTTTTTTTGGTTGGTTGGGTTTTTGCTTTCTTAAGATTAAGAGTATAAAAACAACGGAAAATTCCAGCAGAGATCAAAGTAGATGACGGATTCTTTTGTTTTTTTATGGTCTACTTTTTGTCGTCATCAGTATCCTTTTTTGGAATGAATCATTAGGCTGAAAACATCTTCTGAACCCTCCTGTCTTATTTTCGTCATTTAACATTAGACTTGTAGTTCTTTGTAACCTTAAAGCCTTCACTTTCTTTTTCCAGTCAACCCAATTATCATCTCAAAATATGCCAAGTGCTGAATGGATCAAAGGCGAAATTTTGACTCAAAGATACTGTGGAATCTTCTCGTTGTTCGTAAATTCTCTGTTATCATCTCTTATAATTTTTAAATCCCCGCCAAAACTTGGAAACTACAAATGGTTGATGTTGTATACTTCGCTATTTGAACTGATTTATGCGTTTTTAACTTTGTTTGCTGGTCCACATGTTCATACCTATGGATCTGGATTTATAGTTTTCCAAGATATGAAAAATTATGAATACAGTCATGAGGTCGGAAAATTCCTGATATGGGCTTATTGTTCTTGTTTTGGTTTCTCGATGGCAATGTTTGCTGGTCACTTTATCTACCGGTACAGCACTATAGATTTGTAAGTTTTCAATTTATTTCCAGTCTGTTTCAATCTATTCCAGCAACTTTCGCAATAAATATTTCGCTGGAGCTCGAAAACTTTTCCCATTTCTTCTTCCATTTGTATGCAGCATTATTTGGGGATTTCTATGCTTTTTCTGTTATGATGAGACGCTTCAAAAAAGTTTGTACATGAGGTTGGTGTCCATTTTATTAACCACTATGGTTCGCAAAAAAATTGGAGATGTGGAATAGAAAATCTGGTGGCCGAGGCCGAAGGTCCCACAACGACAACTACCGTAACATAGACATCTTGCTATTTTCCCAGAGAAAAACGGGAAATTTTTAGACCTTTTTAGGTTATTCAGCTGTTTTCAAAGGATCTTTTTCGATTTTTCCGGTTTCGTTGTCCTGAAATTTATTACTGTAGATTACTGTAGAATTTTTAATTTCCTTCTGTAGTTTTTTTTGCAAACACAATCACGTCAAAATGCAGACAAAAAATTACAAGGTTTTCTAAAGTAATCTACAGTAATCTTCCATCAGGAACACCCGTACCGTCAAATTCCGGACAGAAAACTCGGGAAAATCGGAAAAGAATATCCAAAAATAGCTGAAAACCGTAAATAGGTCTAAAAACTTTGCAAAATTCAGGCTGCTGTAGTTGTCGTTGTGAGATCTTCGGCCGCGGTCATCGGGGTTTCTCTTCCACAGCTTCTATGTTTTTGTAACAGAATAATATCTCTCCTCATTTGTAGACAAACTGTATTAGAAAATTACGACGTGGAAATTACTGAATGCGCTTATATCAGTGCCTTGTTTTGGCCTCTTGATCAATTTGGAAACAAGATTGCTGATTTTAGGTCTTTCGTTGGGGTGGCAGTCATGCAGAGTATTGTGGTATTTATAAAACAAATCTAATTCCTTTTTTTACACTTTATTGATTTCAGGGACTATCTCTCGGATGTGTTCTGTACTTTGGTATCAAATGTTATCTCTGGTTATCTCTCAAATTGAAAAGCATTGGTTCCCTTTCGGATGCATCCAAATCTCTTCAAAAACAACTACTTCAAGCACTGGTTATTCAAACAGCAATCCCATTTATTTTGATGTATATTCCTGCTGGAATGATCTTTCTTTTTCCTATGCTCAATGTCGAACTTAATCTGAAATACCCAGTCGTCACTCATGCAGTTGCAATTTATCCAGCTATTGATCCACTGCCAACGATTTTTATCATCAAAATGTATCGCCGTGGGTGTATAGAATGGATCAAAAAGTTGACTTGCATGTCAAAGCTGAATGTTGGGAATTATTTAGTACGAAGGAGTAATACTGTGAACCCTTGGAGTTCCACAATGATGAGCAATTGAACTTCTCGATGCTTAGTGTTAAAAAATGGCAGTATTTAATGTACAACAACTAACTTCTGGTATTCTCTGCGTTTGCATATTTTCAAATTTCATCTGGATTTTTTCACAGTGATTCTATGAATTTTTAGTCATTTTTCAGCCCATAATCCATTTTTAAATCGAAAAAAATATTTTCAGACTTTCAGAAAATCATTTTCCAAACATCGCAAAACCGTTTTCCACTTTCTTGCATACGGCCTCGAAAAAGGGAAGGAAAAAGAAACAAAGGACAGGGACAGTGGGATAATGGATACACTACTGATAGTACAGGATTTTATGCTGGCACTGAATATTTGAAAGTAGTGCGAACTAACAGAACAAAAACTACGAAGAATGTTGGTGTGAGAATTTCGCCATGTTCTAGAAAGAAGTGTTGTTGATCAAAGAAGGCGATGGACTGTCTCCGCTTGAGTAGCGCTTGTACTGTTGACTGATGGCGTCACATTCGATGAAGAAGAGGTGAAGAGACCCGGGAACGAATTGACGAACGATGTGGTTGTTGGGTGGTTCGGGAACGTCAGGGCCAGTTGGAGGGAGCTAGCGATTTCAGGACGAAATATAGACATTAAAATAAGGTTTTTTTAATATTTACATGAAAATTTATTCAATAAATTAAACAAACCGTAAAGCTATACACAGGAAAAATTTCAAATTTCAAAAAATGTGTTAATCGACTGAGTTGGTTCCTCGAATCGCTGAACCATGAAATTGATATTCTCTTTGTATCCGAATTTCGTGTAGAACGGGCACAGCTCAGTCTTGCACTCCAACGACAACTTGTAGACGCCAAGCTCACGAGCCATCTCGACGAGAATTTTGTTGAGCAGCACGCCGAGCTTCTTTCCACGCATCGCTTCGTCAACGACGACGTCTTCGATTCTTCCGCGAAGGCCACACTCGTGGATGTACTTGAACTCAACGACAAGGCTAGCTGCGCCGACGATTTTCGACGTTGTGACGTCTTCAAGAACCACGATGAAGTAGGTGTCGGCGTTCTTCATAGACAAGAATCTCTGCTCGAAATCGTGTTTCGACACGAAGCCAACCGACGTTAGCTGCTCCAGAAGCTTCAGGTAGTCGTCTTGATGGTTAGGGCGAAGGGATCGGACACGGATTTCTGATGGTGTCTTGACACTGGATGGGATGAGATCCTCGTTGAAAAGCGCATCGCCACGCGGCTTTGGCCATTGCTTGACTGGGGTTTCCGAATCCTCCTCGAATCGCTGGTCAAGGAAGTGCAGATTCTTCTGGTATCCGAATTTCTGATAGAATGGGATTAGCTCAGTCTTACATTCCAACGAGAGTTTGTAGACGCCGATCTAGAAGAAATTGAATGAATTTTTAAAAATTTCAAGTTGTAAAATACCGTTTTAGCCATCTCAACAAGCACTTGATTCAGAAGACCGCCCAGCTTCTTGCCACGCATTCTCTCATCGACAACGACGTCTTCGATTCTGCCACGTGTACCTGCCTCGTGAATAAATTTGAATTCGATGAGGAGTGTGGCGGCGCCGACGATTTTTGAAGACCTGGAACATTTTTTTGAATTTTTGAAATAAATAGATATGCCTTACTGAACTTCCTCCAGAACGACGATATAATACGATTTCGCCTTTTTCATCGCGTCGAATCGCTTTCGGAAAACCAGCTGATTGATAAATCCTACGGAAGTGAGCTGTTTCAGCAGCTCCAAATATCCGAAATCGTCGTTGCGAAGCGCACGAAGGTTGAATCCGTCGGGAATCGGGACGTTCGTTGGGAGAAGGAGATCATCAAAAAGAGAAGCCATTGTTTTGAGGGGGTTAGTATTATTGTTAGCTGGAAAATGAAGGTTAGTATTTTATGCGAGGTGTATACGGTAGGTATCTCGAAGCGGCGACACAAAAACAAGAAAGAATTAAGGGGTTTTTCAAAATGGGAGACGGAGTGAGTGAAGAGATGAACAACTAGAAAAATAAAGAAGAGGAGAGATCAGAAAGACAGAGACAAAATTTGGTGCGTTGGCTGGCAAAAATGTAGATCAAATAATGTAAACAGATCTTTTCGGGCGAAAGAACGCCATTGTTACTGCTTTTCGAGTGAGAATTCGTTGATAAAAACCTGAAAAAATGAGTCGAAGAATCCAAGTAAAAAACAAAAGTTTTCAGGTTACTGTAGCTCAACCTGCACATCTTACTGGATTTTCCTGAATGTGAGGTTTTCAGACGGATTTTAGAGATTTCCAGAAGCATTCTTTTTTAATTTTTCATCCAATTAAACTATAAGTCATTTTGTAACACTATTGAAGCCTGAAAACCCTTCGAATGTTCCGAAAAATCATAAAAATTAGGCCAAATAAGCATACATGTCGCGGTGGAGGAATTTTCACTGGCCCGGCTTTTTAAGGGGGGATAAATTTCGTGCTTTAAAATGATTATTTTTACAAAAATGTATCAAAAATTGACAGGAAATTTTTGAAATATTCGGAACCCGGGCCGGGATAATTTTTCTTCAGCCCGGGCCAGGGCTGACCCCTGGCCGGGCCGAGATTTAGCAAGTATGCAAATAAGTGTTTTTCAACTACCGTAACTTGAAGGGACATGTTTTCAATTCTTGAGCGAACTCATTTTATACCTTTCACGTTTTTTTGATGTTTCCAAATTAATTTTAGCTCATTTTGAACCGATTTTCAGCGTTTTCACAAGAAAAATACAAAATAAGCAATAATAAACTAATTTATCCGTAAATATCATCAATAGAGTCCACCATAACTTCATGATATTTCATCTTCTTCTGCTCCAGCTTCCGATGTCTCAATTCGTATAAAACCAGGTCGGCTGGACTCCAAAATACATTTCCACCATCTTTTTTAGCGAAAATCCCATCAAATTTGTGTTTTCGAGTAGGGTTGTACTTTTTCTAGAAGAGAAGTTAATTTTTTTCGAGAAATACATTTCAAAAAGACCTCAATTTTCTTTTTCTTCAATGCCAGATGTTTAAGCTCCACTTCTTATCGAATGTTCTCTTTCTTGGATTGCCACTTCTCATCGTCGCGATTCGTCAAGAAGACGCCGTCGTTGTTCTGTTGAACCAACTGCTCGATATTCTTTTTTTCAAAATTCAAAATCGCGAATTCCGCTTTTTTCTTCTCCTCGATCGCCTTCCTGACTGCCAAAATATCCATTCCGTATTCAGCAAATTCCCGATGTTTGAACTTTTCCGCTTTACGAAGCCTATTCAATGCAATTAGCATGTCTCCATGCATAGGCCACTTCACCACGTGGCACTGGATTTTTTTCAATTTGTTGGTTTTTTTAATGTCAACCTACAGTATCAAATCTTTTTCGAATACTGGACAAGTTCTTAATGTTCACATGGTTATTGATAATTAGCCAAGCAAACAGTAGGACTAAAGCCGTACCGGGCCAAACGAAAAAATCTTCAAAAGTTTCAGATTTTTTGAAAGACAAATAAAATTTCAAATCCCTACCAAACAGCTCAACGGTTCCTGCGGTTCTTGGGTTTTCATCAACATCAGCATCTAGCTGGAAACAATTGGCATCTCTGCTGACATAAAACATTTAAGACAAAAAAAGAAAAGACTTAATTAAAATTAGAGACAATGTGTATTTTTTTATTAATTCTAATCTACGTGGCACAGGATACAACACACACACACACACACTGGCAGAGACTCTGAAAGGATAATAAGCATGGGGGTAGTAGTCAGAAGATTCCGGATTCCGAGAAAAGTATTTTATTCCTGATTCCGTTTCTCAAAAAAGTCATTCCGGACATCTCTGGTCTAGACGCTAGACCGAAAATTGAGACGTTTTCTGTTTCAAATTCTCAAAATTCTCCAAACGACACTCCGTATGACGCGTCGGCTAAACAAAGCGCATGTTCGCTCGTCTCTTTGAATTGTGTTTCAACAAATATCGCAATATTGTTTTCTGTATTTCTAAAATCAATAAAAACCCGTTCAAATGAGCGGTAACCCTAATATAACGGAGAAAAAACATCCCGCAGACAAAATCAAGGTTTGGACTTTTATTGATTTTCGATGTTGTGCCTTCTTTTACATTTTTTCTTTTGCTCATCCGTAATTCCGTTTAACATCGTCATCCACCGGTTTTGTTCAGACTTCAGCACGGAAAAAGTTACCTTTTCTTACATCTTCACTATCTTGGTTGTCCTTCGAATTATTCAAAAACCCATATATTTGGTCATATATTCAATTACAGGAGACATTCGAAAAATTAAAAGAAGAACTCAAAACTCTTGGAATGATTCTCGGTGTTAACAACGACTCAACGACTCAGCCACCGGCTTCCTCGACGCATTCAAAAGAATCCACGAAGCCTGATGACAAAAATCCGTATCACGTATGTCTTCAGTTATTTTTCAGTGGTTCGAATAGTGAAATTTTCCAGAAAGATGTAACAGCTGATGACAAAAAGGCACGCAAAGCTGCAAAGGCTGCTGAGAAGAAAGCAAGAGCAGAAAAATCTGTTGCGAATAAAGCTGCCGCTGCCGCTGGAAGCACTCAACAGCCACAGAAGAAACCAGAACAAGCTGGGAAGAATCAAGAAAAACCGAAGCAAGAACCCAAACAAGTTGTACCCGACAGCACGGAGAAACTCATTGAAGAGAACAGACAGTTGACGAAAACCACAGAACAGCTCGCAGCACAAATGGAAAGTTTAGTTGTTGTTGAAGAAACGAAGACAAATGGAGATTTAAAATCAGCGATTAAAAAGACAACAGGCGTTGAGAAGAACGTACGACATGTTCATAATGTTATCATGCCATCAGCTGTCACATTCGGTAAAATCGAGTGAATATCGTTCAACTGATTCATTTGAATCTTTACAGATCTCCCAAAGAATCAAGTGAAAATAGTAGCTTCTGACTCCGACGAAGGAGTAGCCTCGGAAATTGAGTCCACTGCCATTTCCCAGTTGGATGATGCCACGTGTTTGGCTCATATTCATCCAGCTTTCCTGACGTTGTTGGCCCAATCTGAGTTGGAGAAGATTCCCGATGTCGAGACAGTTTGTATCAAATTTATCAAAGCGTTTAAGGAAGTGAGTTTCTCACAAATACATACCGAAAAAGGGTTTCTAGTAGAGCTTTCTACTATAATTATTTAACTCGGAATATAGAAAACCCAATTTTTACCAAGCTCATAATGTATGTTTTCAGTTCCTTCGTGATTGGACTGCTGAAAGAGAGAAAAACCAAACAGAAGCATCTTCCTTCGGACATGATCTCGACCTGGCCATACGTCCACAACTGGCTCACCTCACACAAAACGGACATTGGCCGCTTCCATTCGCCCTTGGCAACACAGTCAGATTGTTGAAAAGAACTATCAAACGAGTCGATGATCAGACGAATGCCGAGTGTGGAGAGACATTGCAAAACTATCTGGAAGACACGTTGTCGATAAATTTCTCTTCCGCTTACAAAGCAATCAGTCAACTTCTTGTACGCAAAATCCGACAATTCAAAAAAGTGGTTGTGTTTGACTGGTGTCCGGTTGTCAATCATGTACTTTTGGATGCTCGAGAACAAATCGAAGACATGCAGTTGACTGTAATTGATGCGAATTCAAGTGGAAGAGGTACAAGGCACGTGAAGAGCTTTGTCGATCGAGGATATAATGTTAAATATGTAACGATGAAAGGAGCTTCATGGGCATCTCGTGATGGCGCTGTCCTCATCCTTGGATGCTCTGCGATTTTCGCGAATGGAGCTGTAGCCGCACAAAAAGGAGCATTGGCTTCGGTTCTCACTGCAAACCATTACAACATCCCTGTCATTGTGGTTGCTGAACATTTCAAATTTATCGACAAGGTTTGTCTTTTTAGATTGAAATTATTTAATGAACTAAAAAGAAACAAATGGTTCGTTGATCTAATTTGTACAATGATTTGATAGAAACCTAAATCGTGTACTCTCACGATGGTCATCTCTATCCCATCACATGGTTTTGTTGGATGGCACGTTGGTTGGTGTTATTCAAAGGTCGATCAAAGAGAAATACCATCCAGCAAGGTTATCGATATGAAAGACACAAAGAACGGATAGAGTGAACTGAATGGTCTCCACATGTTACTTGCACCGAAGGCGTTTTGATCAGAACCTTATACAGTACCGGTCAATAAGATATACAAAACATATTTTTAGTTGATATTAGGCCATTTGGGCATTTTAGTGAGTCTGGAGCTCGCGCCAGAAAAGATGTCTTTCAGAAATCGGGAGATATCTGAAAAAACTAGAGCTTTTCAAAAAATTCTGTGAACGCAATTTTTTCAAACTACCTTAAAACCTGTATTAGAAGAGCCCTTTGGCCCCTCTTTGACATTTGTAGCTTGAAAGTGAAAATTTCCGTGCGTTAAAAGTAAAAAATAGTTCGGAAATTCTAAAATTTCACAGAAATCTGTTGAAAAACGCTTTTCTTTTTCTCAAAAACTTGCTTAATTTCGGTGAAATGGACACATATTCATGAACTTTGAGCGAGAATTCACCAATTTTTCAAGCGAAAATGATTTGAAAAACGGCTGGAACAATAACAGGGTCCCTCTAATTGAAGGGTATTTATGATGTTAGGGCTCTCCAGAGGTACCGTAAAACAATATAAGTTCCGGCCCTTCTAATACAGGTTTTACGGCAGTACTGTTTCAAACCCTTCGGTTTTGAAAGTGATCGGGAACTTGACAGCCGAGATCCAGAATCCTGAAAATTGTCAAAATGGCAGAAAATCAACTGAAAAAGGATCTTATTTTTCTCATTGACCTGAATTTATAATAATTCAAATTAAGCAAAGTTAAAATTTTCAAAGCAAAAATCCTTTTTTTTCAGGGACAAGTATTTCAAAGAGTGGCTCTTCTCGGACGTCAAAATATTGAGTTCATCCAATCGGATCTAGTGACTGCTGTCGTAACAGATCTACGAATCCTTGGACCAACATCTGCTCCAGCTGTTCTGAAAGCCAAAGCGCTGACAGACATGGCCTAGATTTGTAGGAGTATTTTAAACACCACGGGTAATCGAACTTTCTTGTTGTTTTCCGTTATTGCTTCTATTGGTTTTTCTTCTTTATTTGAATAGATATTAGTCCCATTTTTTTTCTCCTTTATTTTTTTGTGCTCACTTTCCCCGTATTCATGTTCTGTTTCGCAGCACCAACCATGTTTTTAATGAATGTTTATTGTTTTGTTATTAGAAGAATCTTTATTTCAATCAGAAACAGAAAATTAAGAATAACAAGAACCCGTTGTGTCTTAAGAAATATAATCTAGACTATTTACAAATACACTTTTGAATTGAGAATTCTTAGAAAAGGAGAACGACTGGAAGGAATGCCGCAATAAGGATCGAAAGAATCGAAGAAGATCTGACAAGAGGAGCTTGAACCAATTTAGGATTAGCTGGATGATCAGACACCTGATTGCTCTGTGCTACAACATCGTTTCCTTTGGGTGGGGACGATGGAGTTGGCATTCTGTACGTCTTCACATCAGCACAAACTTGTGGCCACTTGGCAACTGCATTCGTATCCAGAGCCATTTTCTCCATGCTGGCGAACGATCGGCGTGTCAGATCAATAACCAGTTGAGCAGTTTCCGAATCACATTCATGAGCAATGGTTGGAATGTCACAGTGGAGAGTGCAAGTGATATATTCACATCCTTGAGCTAGATATTGCTCAGCGCGAGTTGTGTCTCCACTCAAAACGAGATTCTTAAAGTTTTCGGTCATCGAAGAGACGGCGTCGTGGTGTGGAGTGCACGTCTTCACACATTCCTTGTTTGGACGCATTTTGATAAGACAAGGGAACTTCTCACGGATGGCGTCGAAATTATAGACACAGTAGTGATCGATGATTTCAGAGCTGCGCATCAGAAGTTGATGGAGAAAGCCTGGAGTGCATTTTGAGGCACAGTTTTGGAAGTTATGGTAGATTCTGAAATGAGAAAGAAAAATAGTTTGGGTTGAGGCTTCTATTCAGTCGGGAAATATAGCCGACTGACCGACCGGCCACCCAGCCGATCGAAAATTGAGGCTTCCATTTCGGTCGGTCGGAAATCGCGACCGCCGACCGATAACGGACCGAACTTTTGCATTTGCGCGTCAACAAGCCAAAGAGTGTTTGCGTACGCAGCATTTTATTTTACGACACACAACGAGCTTTTTGAATTTTTGAACTTCGTACGCAAACACTGTCTTTCATTTTGACGAGCAAATTCAAAAGTTTGGTCGCGATTTTTGACCGGCCGAAATGGAATCCTTTGTTTGTATATCCTAAAGATTAACGAAATGATATCACTTGGAAAACAACCATCTATGGAAAAACAAACACTTACTTGCAGAACTTCTCGAAGAATGTAGTGTTTGAGAAAGAAGTCAAAAAGTCATTGAAATTCAATTGCATTAGAGAGGAAGCCCGATCTTGTCCGATTTGGGATCTGATATTGTCCATGAACTGAAATGCGCATTGTCCGGCACAAGAATCAGCAGAAGAGTCTGTGGTGTGAGGTCTGAAAACCTTCAGAATCAGATTCGGTATTCTTCTAAAATTCAACACTTACGCAACAGTTGGAATTGCTGGATCAAGAGTGTGAGATGGGTGATCAAAGGCTGTAGTGCCGGAAATGATCAGGAGCAATGCGACAATTTTCATGGCTATTTTTTTCTGAATGGTTGAAACTGGTTGAAAATCGTTTCGCCTTTATTCTGATTCTGATTCTCCACCTCCTTTTACAAGTTGGAAAAGAATAAGGAACGCCCCCTTTCGTCTTCTCTCAGTTTCTCGCTAACCCCAAAAAACCGGGAGACGGGGAAACAATGGTCGAGAAAAAGAAAAGAAAAAAGAAGAAAACGTTGATTGTGTAATGGTTAGAAGGAGGACATGATGATGACAAGGTTACAACGACAGAAACCCCTTGTTTGTTCGAGAGTATCAGAATTGAGGACGAGATGAGGAGGAGGAGGTCAAATGATAAGGGAATCAGAGGACATTACAAGAAAAATATAAACTTTTTTGTAAAAAGGAGTGATCGAACATGGCTTTGTTTGAAATAAGAGGAAAAAATAACTGAACAAACCGGACTCAAAATCTGTTTGACTCTTTCAATAGAACATGATAAACGTTGAAGCCCTGAAAATTGCAAGTGGTGTGGCACTCAATTTACAATGTCAACTTTGAACTAAATTATCTCGATTCCTGTGAAAGATATCAAAAAGTGGTGAACTGACAAAATATTTTTGATATTATGATAAACATTTTGTCAGTTGACTCTTATTTGATATCGTTTATGCGAAGCGAGATAATTGAGCTCAAAGATGACGGTTTGGGTGGACTTCTATTAGACGAAATACGGAAATTTAGTTTTGGTTTAATTGAAAATGGACATCCCATTTGGATGAGTTCAAATAAAAATGAATCCATCTACAAACATAAATCCAGATTTTCATATAGAACTTTCCGAAAATTTTCAGAAAAGTTTTCCAAACGTCCAACTTTATAGAATTTTGATGGGGTTATGCACAAAGGTTAAAGAGCTAAAAATACTGTGTAGAATGATTTAATCAATTTGAAAAAGATTGAAAAAGTTTTTTTTTTTTTTGAGAATTGGAATTTTTGTTTTGAAATTTGGCTAAAGGTGTTCTCAAGTTCGTCATATCTAGGTCAAGCATATACATTGGCAAAAGTATGGATTCTTTGACCTTCACTAAATTTCTTGTTTTTGCTAGAACGGCTTCATGTGGATGATTAAAAAACTGAACTTATCACAAAAATTGAAACAAAAAGTTTAGACTGAAGTTCAGTCTCTAAAAATCCAGAGAAAATTCAATAAAAATTCTGTCATTACCAGAAATTTTGTCTCGAGAAGAGCAGAAAAAACAACAAGATTAAAACGAGGATAGTGAGAAAAGAATCTCATGTTGAATGGAGAGAAAAATAAAGAAGGAAATTGTTTTTTGGACAACACCTTGTTCAGCCACCCATGGATTTTCTATTCTTTTTAAGAAACTGGAAATTCAGCTTTTTTCTCTTCTTTTTGGGTCATTTACTATTTCTAACCACAGATTAAAAAGTACAGATGAAGAAGAAAAGAAGAAAGAGATAAATGATGCAGACGGGTTGATGAATAGAATGAGATGAGAAGCAATTTTTTGTGTCTATTGGTAGGGGAAGAGGAAGAGAAAGTTTGGCATAAAAAAGGCTTTTGGAATATGATTACTATTAGAAATACTTTTGATGAATAGAGTATTAGGACCAATTGGTAGATGGAGAAAACAAGAAAACAATATTTTGCAAATGGAGGGAAATGGAGAAGAGAAAGTTGAACGAGAACTAGTCGTTGGGGGTTCCAGTTAAACCATGTGGCAGCCAAGAAACCCATTTTGGATTATTCATTCTCAGATTCTTATAGAACATCCCAAAAATTTATGTATTTACCAGCAAGCTGGTGAGCCTTCGGCGCGATTCAATCTAGTTTTTTTACTTGTTCGTCGCTCCACGTCTCACTTCTTAAACTGTCTAAGTTTCGAGTTATTTGATCAATTTTGAAGTGAGTTATCGCTTGTCAAAGTTGCTTCATTTCAACAAAATCACAAAGGCATGCAAAAAACATTATGCTGTTCATCTTTGGAAAATCATAACATTATCTAGTCTTGAGAAATCGCTTTGAAACAAACGTAAAATCATATTTCTGTCATTTTCGTGCTTACAAAGTACTGATGTCTGAAGATATACCCGTTTTTATCAGTCCGGGTAATTGTGCGCCACCCTGTACAGTTCCAATCTGCCTTAGAGAGGGGTGATGCAACTTGAAATTAGCTCTATTATGGTTAAATGCTCCCTGAAACTTTCAGAAGGATCCGAAAAAAATTGGCCTATTTTTCTAGATGGTCACAGTTTTCTGTTTTCAATTAAAACACCAAAATAACAAATTGCCTTTCTTAATGACATCAAGTTTTTAAAGAACTTCCGACACATGAAAATGTTTTCTCTTCTCCTGATTTTTATTCTCTGATAGGCCTTTAGGTACAATATGAATCACATCAAAGTTCGAATAAATTCTTTTCACATCTTTTCAAAGTCCTAAATTGTTCTGTACTTGTCTAGATCTCCCTAATGGAAGTTCACCTGAAATTATCTCTTTTGTAGACCATCTATCATCCTTTTTAAGTAAAAAATGGTCGAAATCTCTCAACCGGTTGTCTAGCCATTGGGTCGTCCATTTCGTGTAATTACACTTATAAAACTCTTGAAAAACAATGACTGAAAATAAGTATACCTAAAAGTTGTTTTTTGGTGTCATTCTGCAAAACTGATAGCTATGAAGAACTAATAGTTGTTGTTGTTGTTCATGCAAAGAAACAAGAAGAACGCTTTTTGTAGTATGTGTAGTATGGTAAACTTTGCTTTCACTACACATTGAATTCCGCATCCAAAGATCTCTCAGGTTTCGTGACTTTTTAGAATTATCCCATATCACAAGGTCAAACTAATTTATCAGAATTCGAAACCTTTACCATTTCTATCTCTCCACCTCTATCCCAATGTCCTTCGTTTTTTTCACGTTCTAATTGGTCTATCACCTGTGTCCACAACGTCATCTAACTTGTAACTTTCGGTTTTCGTTTTTTTAGGTTAGCCTTTTTTCAAACTCGAGAAGTTTTATTATGAAAAGCTGGAGAGAAGAAGGTTTCTATGATTTCTTTCATGTGAAAAGATTAAAAAGAAAAAGAGATCGAAGACAAGAGAAAACAAGAGAGAAAGATGTCATCGGTTCATATACAGTCATCAGTTAAGATGCGATGAAATTTATCTCTTGGCTCCGAACATTCGAAAATATCCGAGTTTAACACAAAGATGAACGTCTTTGTTGGCTGGAGTGGTGTCACAAACGAAGTCTTCCGGGCACAGACAAGAACGAGTACGACCGATTCGGCATGGCTCGTTTTCCTCGCATGCTGAAACAGTTATATGGTTTTATGAATTTAAAGTCTTAAGACACGAAGTTGTTTTAAAGATTCGTATTCAGATCGTCTTGAAATCAAGTTACGGTGAAACCTGTAATAGAACAACCCTTCTCTCTGTTAAGTTTGAGCTCAATTATCTCGGCTTCTATAAGAAATATCAAAAATCTGTTAACTGATAACATATTTGTGATATCATGATAAAAATTGTATTAATTGACAGATTTTTTAAATTTCTTACAGAAATTGAGATAAGTGACCTCAAAGTTGATGTTACGAGTGGGCTCCTATTAAAGGAAATCCGGCAAGTATACTTACTCTGGACTCCGATCACTTCATAAGCGCTTCGCTTCTTGTGAGCGTTGGTTTGGATCAATGGTTTGAATAACGGGTCATTCTTCAGAAGATGTTTGAGATTACAGTCTTTGCTTTCTTCGATTTGGTCAGAGAGAATCGCGACGATGGAGCCTAAATATTGGACGGTTTATATCATACATGGAAAATCTTCTTGGCCCGAGGTGCTGAAGGGGAACCATATACTTTTTTTCCATAACTTTGATCAATTTTTGACCACTTCCATTGAGAATAATTTATGAAAATTGAACAAAATACAATTTAAAATTCTGGAAAATTCGAAAATTCAGAAATTCCAAAATCCCAAAAAATTCGAAAGTCGAAAAAACACAGAAATTGCAAATAGATCTGGAAAACTGCTGATTTCTAAAAATTCTAGAATTCTAAGAATTCAAAGACTCGAAACACAAAAAAAAGAAAAAATGCAGAAAGTTCTAAGAACCCGAATCTTTTGGAAAACTGGATACCGAAAAATGGAGTAATTGCAAATCAGAATGTCTAAATTTTTCTAAAATCTAAATTTTACAGTTCTCAAATTTCAGGTTTTCCAGAAAGTTTTCTCTGAGGGCCTGAAATTTCAAGAAAACTGGAAAATATAGAAATTTCCAAATTTTTAAAAAATCAAAAATAGAAATTTAAATTTCTGAAAAATTGGTGATTTTCGAAAATGCAAAAAAAAAACTGAGAAATGGAACTTCTACATTTGCAAACCAACAAAATATAACTTTTCTGAAGAATTATGCTTGGGACATGTATACGGTCATGTTTAGTGTAATATTTAGCTCTATTCGAGTATCATCCCCTATTAGGTTTCAATTTTCTTCCAAAAGAATCGTCACTTTCTGACTTGGGTTATTTATCAATCCCTTTTTTTCAAAATGTTTCTGAATCCCTGAAGTGGAAGATAGATGACGTGTATCCCTGAAGAGTCCTAACACACTCTATTTATCTAACATCCAAAAAACTATGAGCCCCTGGGAACCATCTCAATATAACTCACATTCGATTTCCTCCATTCTAGAATCATCAATGTAATAACCAACAGATGTCGTGACCAAAAGGAGAAGAAGCAAAAGTAAATTCATCTGGAGCAAAAAGAAATACGACTAGAAAATGATGAACTCAAACAAAACAAAAAAGTGAGCAGGAAAGAGAAAGGAAATGCATATGTTGGAAGAGTCGGATAGACAAAAAGAAGAAGAATTGACATTTGAAGTGAAAAGGAACAGAAGAGGAAACGTGTGGAAGAGCTCTGTTTGAGTGAGCTCCGCCTTCTTGGATATATTATGTGTGGGGGTGAAAGGAAGTGAGAAGAGGTTTCTTGGTATTTGAAAAATGAGATAGTGAGATTGGAATTCAGAGATGGCGGCAAAAACGGAAAAATGATAGCTCTAAGAATTTCACGATGAGAGATGAATGAGATTGCCCCCTCCTTCGAAAATGATATTTTTAGATCAAATCAAGACTCATTGGATTTTGAAGAGTCTAGGAAGAATCAACTAATAAGAATCATGCCTGGCTGGTTTAGATACATTTGAATTTTCAGGAAAAAAAGTATTTATACCCAAATCTAAACTAATACTATAGCGGCGGAGTCGAGGTTTTGTAGGCTTCTTACACCTATACGAAATACAAAATGCTCCAGCAGTGGTAAGTTAGTTTTTCAGTAGTATGAAAATTTGCATTGGGATTTTTTCCTTAAAAATCTCGGGCGTCAACGGAAACCTATGATCAAAGGTTGGTCAGATTCCGGATAAGACCGCTACTAAAGCCGACCAAACTCCGACAAACTTATGACAAGGTTCAATCCTAATAGTATTTCAGCTTTCAACTTCTGACCAAAATTGAATTACGGTCCGCTATAGAGCCGTTCTTGGGCAAGTTACAATCATAACCTGGCCCAACTCGGTCGAAAAGCCGAACCCCTCAAATTCTGATCAGAAATTACAAGCTGAATGACGAGCTACAATAGACGGTTGTATCAAAAAAGTTTAATACAAAAGTAAGACTCATGACAAATTTGTAAAAGAGTATACATGTTTGGAGCAAAAAGGAATTTGAAGAATGAAGAGCCCGGGTTCACCGTCCTCTTTCTCTTCTTGATGAGACAGGAAAAAATAAGCCGTTTAGGTTTAACTACAAAAATCGGAGAATAGGGAGAAGAGAGGAACTGATAAATAAGGAAAAGGTTACAACTTTTACTTCTCTAAACAGGGCGGTGGTTGTTTCGTGAATCTGAAATGATGCTATTTTCAGGTCAAGCTGGGTGGGTGGAGGTGACACCGGGTTGACGTATTTTGAAAAATGAGTAAACGTTTGAACTGGAAAATAGGGGAAAGGCATAACGGAAGTCATGTGACACTACCGTAACACGCCTGAAAATCATTCAGTTGTCAGAAACGAAAAATTTCAGCGTTCATTATATTTCAGCTGCTTAATATTTTCGAAGAAAAAATTGTAATTTCACAGCGTCGCATTAATTCAATGATAACAAAAATTGATTTGAATTCAAAGTTGTAGAACTGTCTCTACAAATACACTATCATTCATAATATTGATAAAGTTACAACCAGTTCATTGGAGTGAGAAAAAGTTGGAAAAAACATGTAATTTCTTAGGCACGCTGTTTTTTCCGGAACGTTTTTTGAAATTTTTCGTTGACGATTGTGAACCAACTACACTATCGCTCGCAAACCGTCAACTTTGAGCTCATATATCTCATTTCCAAATCAAAAGTGATGAACTGTAAAAATGCTAATTATAATTTCAGAAAAATTATAGTTGGTCACTTTTTGGAAACCAACCGAGATAAATTGGTCCAAAGTCTGAATATTAGCGTCCGAGCGCGTGTACAAAATGCTCCGAAAAAAACCTCCGTGCTTAGTGCCGAAAAATTCTAAATGCTGAAAAATCCAAAATTCTCGAATACCGAGAAACCAATTTCAAAAAAAAAAATAAACAGAAACAAAGAGTTTGAGAAGTTGACTCTAATTGAGAATTCAATGGCGTGCATCGTAAAGCATCGTCCATAATTGTGTCGAATGAATATTTTCAATTGTTTGGTCGAATGACTAAAATATGCTCCTCAATACAAACATATTTGGTTTCGAAATTATATTGCAACATTTTTACATTTCGAAACTATCCTTCAAAACTTGTTCCACTTTTTGAATTACCCCCTATCCTATTACCTCCTTCAGAAATCGACCAAGTCAATATCTAGGTCATGTTTTCCTCCTTTTCCACATTTTTTGGTTCGTTCTGCTCTTCTAAATATATTTTCAGCACATTTTTCAGGACATGTGACTCAGCAAAAATGCCATTTTTTTGCGTTTTTCCCTAAAAATGGTGTTTGCAAGTGTGTTATTTGCTCTCTGCGAGAAACATCGCCTCGTCGTCGCCCCATCATCAAAATCAGCGTCATAAATGCGACGAAAGACTGCAATTAGAGAATTCTTCTTTTTCTCCCGCACATTCTAAACTGATAACCGATGCTCGCCCCTTTTTCGGTTTTTTCCTCCTCCTGATATCAGTAGTTTCATTTTTGACTCTTGGCATTTTTTATTTTGTTGACGAAAAGACAAAAAATTTCAGAAACACCTTTCTTGACCATGCACATTACGGATCTTATGGTCAAAACGCTTGAACTGACAAATGCCACAGAACTCGAGCCATTGCAACAATCAATGGGGTTACTGTAGTGGAATTAGACGTAAGTCATGGGAAGGAAGGAACAAGGGGAAGCATTTAGATAGTGATACCAGAGGATTTTAGTGACCTTATAATAAAATTATAGCTATTATAATTATTATCAATTTGAGTAATTGGTTCCGACTGTTTTGTTTGTTACAAACTGAAGAAAATGATATCATAACCGAGAAGAAATATTTGAACTTCGAAATACCGTAATTTTTTCGAAATGTCTTCATGTAGGGTGTATATCTTGAAACCCAAAAACGCTAGAAAAGTTTTGTTAACTGAAGAAATGTACAAAATACAAAGAGGTAAATTTTTCTAGTTAACAACTCGTTGATAGCATTTTTTCGTTGAATATATATGCGCTAGAAGTTGGAGGAAAGGTTTAATAGAAGGTCACCGTATACTTAAACTTTGAGCTTATAAATCACGATTCCTATAACAGATATTAAAAAGTGACCAACTAATAAAATGGTTTTGATATTCTAATAAATATTTTGGCAGTTGACCGCTTTTTGATATCTGTTATAGAAACCGAGATATATGAGCCCAAAGTGCAGGTAATGGGTGGCTTCATATTAGAGTATTGACAACAAAAAGGACCAAACTAAATAAATTTCAAAGATTGAAAAGCTGGTCTCATCAGAAAAAGGTCAATTCATCGCATCTGATTTCAGGCGGCTGAGGGCCACTTCCGAGTGCATTTGGTGCGAGATTCCGAGAATTTGAACGTACAATTGGAGGAGGGAAGCAAGCTCGCCGCCTACTACAATTCTCTTTTCTGGCATGAAATTTCGACGGCCGAAAAGATTTCAATTGCAAGTGGCCAGTTTTATAGGCGATTCCGAGTCAGCGATGGAGATATCAAACATTCGGTTTTCGTTACGAAATCCGAGAAAAGAGGAAGTGCTCGTTCCCGATTGACACTTCCGGAGCTGGAACGAGTAGCTCGAGAAATTGCCACGTTGCATGCAGCCAACTCGAGACTTGCGAGATGTGCTTTGGATGTGGAAGAGAATTATGGGAACATCAAAATGTATAGAAAGAAGATTCAGCGAGAAGTCATAGAGATTCTAGAGTCTGCTGTGACACAAGAACTAGCACGGTACTTCGTGAATCCAGCTTCAATTCCTCAAAAAATTGGAATTCTGACACATCATTTGGAGACACATAAAAAAGAAGATGATGAAGAGAATCATCAACACAAAGTGATCACACATGGAAGGTTATCAGGGGATACATGCAGATTTGATGAAGATGGAAAATTGGTAGAGATCACGGAATGGGAGGTGGGTCTCTAAATGAAATTGAATCAAAGTTTAAAGTTTAAAAATTTAAGAACATTCATCTTGGAAATCCCGTCGAAGATCTGACTAATTTGCTGGTCACATCTGCTGATGTTGACATTCGAAGAAAGAAATTTATGAAAGTGGGTATATGAGAACAGCAAAATACAAAAAGCCAGATGTTCCGAAAAATGAGAAAAAATGAGATTATTGAAACAATTTTATAGGTGTTTCAAGTCTACTTTTACACTCTTGTGGATACGCATCCGCCAAATTTCCAACTTCCCGATTTGAAAAGATGGTTCAAGGAATTTGAGGCAAAAGCAGTGATGAACGGGTTAGTAAATGCGCTCAAATGCGAACAACCGTAATACTACAGTAAAAATTAGCTACTAGTCGCTACGCGGTGCTTGCATTGCATCCGAAACCTCTCAAAAAAAATTTTCCGCACTTTTTCCTAAGGAATGCCGGCCGCCCTGTGTAGCGACTCAGCAGTTCAATTCAAAGATTTCGTGGTGGGACTACCGTATTTGCTCTAATAGTAGCCCGACCCAATTCGTGTACTTTGAGCTCAATTACCTCAGTTCGTATGAGAGATATCGAAAATCTGTTAACTGATAAAATGTTTGTGATATTATGATAATTGAGTTACATGTTGAAACTTATTTGATATCTTTAGAAGAAACCCAGATAATTCAGCTCAAAGTGAACTGTATTGGGCTCTATTAGAGGAAACACGGTCACTCTAGTTTTCCTACGGTATTAATGTTAGCGCATTTACAAGTACGGCGAAAAAGCTATTTTTTTAATTTACCGGAAAAAATCACTGTGTGGACAAAAAAGAGAAAATGAGCGAGAGAATGGAACATGAGATATTGTGAAACATAGCGAATAATGTTCTGATAAACAGAGAAAAAATTGGTTATGATTCAAAAAATGACGAATTTTCATTCGCCTTGTTTTGAATGCCGTATGTTTATAAATCATGTAAATCAAAATTGGCTGAAAACACACAACCAATTTTCTCGTCATTCTTTTCTTCTTCATATAATTTTCTACTTTCAGAATCGAGTCACTTCTTCTAACACTTGCCGATTCTCCAGATGAAAATTTGAAACGAGAAGCTGCTCATCGTTGGGAAACTTCACTAGATGATTCTGTGGATTTCCTTACTGGAAACTATATTTCTGATCACGAACACACGTTCTTCTCCCACAAAGACGAAGACGAAGACTAAAAAAGGAAGAAGGAAAAGAAGATTTATATTCGAGCCAGTAGTAAAATAAAAATAAATGTCATCGATATCTAAAAATAAATGCCTTTTTTCTTGTCCTTGTCCTGTTTGTCTATTGGGTGACGAATAAATAAATCTTCCGGGGGGAGGAACAAAACGGAAAACGAGATGAATCTTATGGTTACGGAGTCAAGAAATTGAGAAATAATGAATGGATGACGTGGGTGAAGGGGAGATGCAGAAAACACTTGAAATTTGTAAAAAGCTCGCAAGTAAACTGTGAAGGTTTGGAGGAAAGTGAGGGGAAACGAAATTAAAATACTGAAAAGTGAATTTTGGAAAGAATAGGAAATCTTGAAGGCTTAATTAATCCAATTTCTGAGTTTGCAGCTTACTTTCCAATGTATTTTTAGTGGATCCTGACTTCTGACTCCTGACTTCTGAAATTGTGAGAATGGCAATTGAGAGTAATAATTCTAAACCTCTGAATTTCCTACAACTTCATACAGTAAACAATTAGAATTGTGAAGTCGCAGGTATGGCAAGGTTGCCGAGAAGCGTACAAACGGCGGCTGAAGATCTAACGAGGGAACCACAGCACCTCGTCAATTTTGCTTTTGATGAAAGTTTCAAGATTGGTAAAGGATAGTCTATCTAAACACCTCTGAAAATTTTAGAATCCAGTTTCAGTATCAAAAATCTCGCTTTCAGTGCAAAAACATCGGTTTTCAAAGTCGATCATTTCCGCTCTCCAGAACATGAATATTAGTATTTGATACTCAGTATTCAATGAAATTTTACATTTCAGTCATTTTCTGAAAAAAATTTTTTGAGAAATTTTGAGAATTTTGTCCACCACTTGAATGGGAGATTTTATGACAATTTTGTAATATGATTCTTAATTTTTAAAAGAATATTTTGAGAAGAAACGCATTCCTTTCATTATGGTCCCAATACTACTGATTGCCTTCCAAACTTGTTGTCTGAATATTTCCCTTATTTTCTTGAAAGCGCAAGTACGAGCCAATTCTTAAACCTTCAGCCGCCGTTTTTTGAAAACCCCTCTCTCTATGTGATCTTGAGATATTATTCTGTTTACTTTGAGGTTTCAGCAGAATTATTTGTAGAAGGAATTTATGCTAAAGTTGAAATTTCTAAATTCCCAGCTCAACAACTGCAACTTCTTCACTTTGCAACTTTTTGCTTCCATCGGAGGTCTTTTCACTCAACTTGTCATTCTTTTTCTAGTTTTGCTTCCTGTCTTTCCACCCACAATTCTTCCAAAATGTTTCAGCCTCTTTTGCACAGGAAGCAATGTTTATGTTCCCGCGTTTTTATATCCTCCATAACTTTTTGCTTGTTTCCTCTTTCCATTTTATCATTTCAGTCCGTCACACGGACAACCCAAAAAGACAATGAAGAAGTCGTTTTCCTTTTTACTTATCTTTCTGTTCCAAATATTCCAAATCTCTCTATCTTTTGATTTTGGTGAGAATTTCGAAAATTCGTTTTTCGAAATTAACATTGATCGAGACCATCCGGATGATATATACAAAGAATTCGAAGACTTCATTGTGAAATACAAAAAGAGTTATAAAGATGAAATTGAAAAGAAATTCCGATTCCAACTATTCACTGCTACTCATAATAAAATTGGAAAGTGGGTCTTAATGAATTTTTGGGTATCATCCGTATTCGTTTGTATTCCAGAATGAATGAGCGTTCTGGGAAAATGGGACAAGACACGAAATTCGGTCACAATAAGTTCAGTGATAGAACCAAACAAGAAATGGATGTTGGTTTGATTTCAAGCCATCCAAGTTAAAAATTTATTCCAGAGACTCTTCTTCAAAATGGGTCCCAAGAATGATACAAATATGATTCCAATGTACGATCCATCAAAGCATCGTGTGAAGCGCCAAACCATTGATCTTCCCAAGAAATTTGATTTGAGAACTATAAAGCTAGGAGGAAGATATATCGTTGGAGATGCTAAGGACCAAGGTAATACTTCAAGAATTTCGCATTACCGTAAAATATGTATTAGAAGGGCTTGCCTCATTTTTCGTGGGGTATTTAAGGGGGGGTTGGGGGGGCTCATCAATCAGAGCGGCCCTTCTAATACCGGTTTTGAGGTAGTCCCATTTCTGAAACTTCAGGCGCATGTTCATCTTGCTGGGCATTTGCTGCAACTGCCCTAGCCGAAATCGCATATTCCGTTCATTTGAAGAAAATGGTGGTAAGTTTCACAGCTCTGGAGATCACCTGAGCCCCTGAATTTCAGACACTTTCCGATCAAGAAATCTGTGATTGTGCAGCTCAACACGGTCCAGCATGCAAAGGTGGACTACCAAATGATGGTCTAGAATACATCAAACAATTTGGTGTAACTTTGGAATCAGAATATCCGTATTCAGTGGAAAGATCAAATGAAACAGGCCATTGTGATGCGGACAAATACGAGCGGGAACTGAATTCATTGACATTGGATTATTATTCGATTGATCCATTTAATGCGGAATATCAAATCACCTATCATCTTGTTGCCCTTAAAACTCCAGTTTCGGTTGCCTTCAGAATTGGAGACGATTTCAACTTTTACAAAAGCGATGTTCTACAGTTTCCGGGTTGTGATCATGCAAAGGAGACACATTATCATTCTGGAGTTATTATTGGATTCGGAACAACAGTGAATTCATTGGGAAAAAAAGTCGACTATTGGATCTTCAGAAACTCTTGGAGTGGCGACTGGGGAGAAGCGGGACATGCACGAATTATTCGAGGAGAAGATTGGTGTGGAATAGAGTCACTCGGGACAGGTGCAAGAGTTCCAGAGTGAAATTCTGATAATCTTTTTCATTTTTTATGCGATTCGTTTGTTGAACTGAATAAATTCAAACTTCCCGCTTTATTTTTCTGGTGGGTAGCCTAGACCCCGACTTTCGTGTAGTCCTCGTGAACGATTTCTGAAAAAAAATTTTCATAAAAATTTTGCAAAATGGAGCCTGTTCTACAACCCTGGGATGATTCTCAAACAATTGCAAAGTCAAAAATCACAAGCAGAGTAAGTAGAAATCTCGCAAAACTTCAAAATTCGTTATTCATCAGGCCTCAATTCGAATTTTCGAGAAATATCCACTGAAAGAAGAAAATGTTTCAACTCTGTTCAGCACTGAAGAAATGGCTGGAGGAGAGCCAGAAGAGCTGTACAAACTGGTAGTTTATTTAATAAAATTTGAAAATCAATCCTTTTTTATTCAGTGCCGACAACTTCTGAACGTATGGAAATATGCCATATTCTTTCAACCGAAGCCTGAGAATTTTGCGAATCTTCTACAAGAGGTTCGATATACTTCACTAGCTTTTAAGAGCTTTTTTTCAGTCAAATTATCCGGCACCTGTAATCAAAGGGATTCTGGAAGCATACTCCTCCGAAACTTTCACAGAACTCGTAGAATCGCTTGCCTCATGCTCAAACTCGAACATCCCACGTGTCATTTCTACCGATTGGACTTGTCGTGCTGTTGCTCGACAGAATAACATAGCGTTTTCGGATCGAGAGGCAACTCTGACACTATCCACCGATAAAGGAGTGAAACAAGTAAATTTGTCTGCGAAGGAGCTCGAGAAATTGTACTGGACAGTCAGCAAAGTGCAAGAATCGCTAGATGGACTGTTGGAAAGATGATTATTAAAAATTCATGAAAACTAATCTATTACAAAGATCCTACGAAAATAAACATTGAATATGAAAAAAAAACAATTATTCGAAAATCAACAAGAAAGCACCCGCTAGAACCTAACAAAACAACAGAAAAACAGATTAGGAATTTCTCAAAAATTTGTCATAAGCCACGGGAAAAGTTTTAGCAGCTAACATGGCGAATCCAGCGTCTGATGGGTAGAGGAAGTGTTCAAGACTGACGAGGTCCGAGTGCGCCGAGTCTTCTGGAGTGTAAACTTCAGAAGCATCCTTTTTGGATTCGCTTTTTTCTGCGAGTTGGTATTGAGCACGTCCGAGTCGATTCAAAAAGTCATGACGAGATTTGATGACGCTGGGGGAGCATCGTAGTATGAATGGGTGCTCCAGAATAGTTTCGTTATTAACTCTCATAACATCTCGAACGTATTTATATGTTCTTGAAATCAGTTTGGAATCTGAAAGTTCAGCATAATCTAACTATACAAAAAAGAAGAGAGCTTACCCATCATAAAAAGCCTTGGATCCTTTTGAACAAGAGTTTTCATTTGATTCATGTCGAAATTCAATTCCTTCGTAAACATCTTAACAAGCCTCTCTAATGGTCCAGTTCCAAACATTATAATTCGGGGCTCTTTGACAATTATCTCCCTTGTCACTTTTGCAGACAGCTTGAATTGTTGTTGCAACCATCCGAGACGTGAATCGATCAACTTAACACTACAATTCAGCCAATATCGATACTCATTCACAATTTTCCGTCTTTCAGCTTTCGTGAATTTTTTCATCTCCAGATAATTGAGCCTCGTTTGCATATCATTAACAGATTGAAGCAGGAAAAATGGGTTTCTCGTCAGATATGCTCCAATTTCTTCGTTTTCAAAGCCGATTTCATTCTGCATCAATTCGATTTTCTGTCGAACATCTTTCATTTGTAATCGTAGAAGGTGTCTTCCGATTGAAGTCGTATTCTCGACTTCAGCTAGATCCACCCCAATGTCAACTAGAAACCGTAGAAGAGTAGAATGGTTTACAAATGGGACGAGAGAATGAGAGTGTACAGGAGGAAGGTCGGATGCATCAAACGGATGTGGATTCGATGGAGATGGTGGTTCAGTTAGGACAGAGTTATCGAGTTCTCCTTCCGTATAGTCAATTTTTCTATACGTTGCCTGTCCTGTAAATAATAAATAAAAAATACATTCTCTTGAATCAAATACCAGTTTCTGCTTTCATTTTCTTGATATTTTCCATATCAGACTGTGAGAATAATGTTCCCTCTTTCTCCTTCAAATCAGTCATCTGCCACTTTTCTTCAAAATTTTGCATAATTTCTCGATTCGTATCGTTTTCCTCTTCTGTGAACGCAGTTTGTAGACTTTTCTCAGTTACAGTACGAACTTGTTTCGGTGTTCCTACATCCGGTGGCTTTTTAGGTGTGATCTGGACTTTAAATATTTATGTCTTAGAATTTTAGATAATTTAATATACCATACAAACACTGCTTCTCTGCTGCTGTACTAAAAACATCGTAGTTCTACAAACACATCGCGTGATTGTACTTAGTAACGTCATCTGGAAGCTTTTGCAGATTGTGAGAGGTTTATTTAGTTTTCCATTCAAAAATTTAAAGTTCAGATAACCATTGTTCAGAAGACAAAAGGAAACAGATGCATAAATTGTTTTAATAGTCAGAATGATTTATTGGGAACCGAAAAAGACTGATAATTTTAACTGGGAAGCTTCAAAAATATACAAGATTTAAAATTTCTATCACCAGAGCTCCGGCCAGAGAGTTTGGAATGTTTTTTTTACAAAGTATGTCTTTCAAGTAGCTGATCGAGAACGAAACCAATGGCATAGTATGTGGTTGGCGCACCGAGACGATGTTGTGTGTACAGAGAAGCAAGATCGTTGAATCCGATGCGAACTTCTTCAATGTCTTCATCTTCTTCTTTTTCACAAATTCTCGCTTTACTGACGTCTACTGCATAGATAAACTGAGTGTCTCCAGACTGTCCGATTCCAGGAATACATTTGCCTTTGAGTTGGAAATCAGTTTCAGGGAGATCATAACCGAGATGCTTGACTGCGATTCGAATGAACTTCCGAGGATCGTCGTGTTGAGGAACTTTAGTGACCGCCGGTTCAAGCTGGAAAAATCGAATGACCTACTGATGTAGGTAATACTAGTTCTTACAGTATACGCCATGTTGGCGTCATAACTTGAAAAGTCGATCTCGTCCAAAGACTTGCCAATATTTTCCTCCATGGCTCGGCATTTTCCGATAAATACAGCTGAGAAACACACTTTCTTTGATAATGCTAAATTCAAAACTCACGAGGTCTCAACTTTTGCAATAGTATCAGCTGTCTTTTCGTCATATCCACCATGATGCAAGTCGCCGTGTCCGGACACAATGCGAGATCCCAGCTACGCGTTATTCCATGCTAAAAGAATTGGGCTTTTTTGGGAATTTTTTAAAAATTTACCATAGTAAAAGTCATTCTTTTCGGATTGTACCCATATTTCTTCTTATCGAAATCGGTTGTAAACTGAACGTTAGAGATGGGTTTCGGATTGTGAGGGATGAATTTATAATCGGATGGTGGGCTGGCAATCAGACCTTTCTGAAATAAGGTTGATTGCTCATGTTTTCAATTAATTGGATTCTTACTCTGTCTGGATTCAGAATGAAAAACCACCATTGCATTGCGAAGAGGACGCCTGGAGGACCCTTAACAACAGCATGGGTTTCTGGACGAGCTATAGCCAGTGCTTCCTCCGGTGTTAAGAACACTTTTGTGATAACCTCGCCGTCGTGAACATTGCCTCCTCCTTCGCTGATTTTCATGGATTCATCTACTTCAATATAATACACATACTGAAGACTTCCTGACTGATGCGCTCCAACAATAAATGTGGTTATATGAAGCAAATCTTCCGGATCAACACGATAACCACACTCTTCAGCAACCTCTTCAGATGCGATTTCAGCAGGAGTAAGTCCCTCTTTGTCTATAAGCCCCGCGCAAAGTTCCATCGTGAAGCCGAGTTCCGGGTCGTAGTTGTTCCAGTCGATCTCGTTGAAATCTTTTCCTTCATTCTCGGGAAGACGGGAGACATGACCAACGAAGACCGCTAAAAACATCTAAATCAGTGTCATGGGAGTCATTAATCCTCAACCTGGACGGAACTGCCGCACAAGCAAGAACTTATTGAGTCCTTTGTGAAATAGGATGATCGCAACACTGCCCATTTTCTTATTGAATTCACTTTCGCGAGATTTTCCGTCGATGGTATAGGTCATTTCCATGCCTTTCTGATATTTGGACACAAAGTCCGAAATAAAAGAGACATCACTGATTTTAGGTGATGACGTCATCTGCAAATCAGCATTTCTAGAGAAGAGCTAACCTACAGAAAGACACAGATAACATCTCATGATAAATTAACATTTTACTAAAACGAGGTTACAATCGAAAAAAGGAGAACGTTTATTTTGTGATTTTGTTCCATCAATCACTACACGCTTTGGGGAAATATATAAATTCAGAGTTCAGAAACAGGAAACATAGAGATTCGTACAAGGGAATTGAGAGAAATAAATGAAATCCGACTCAGAATGGGATGCGAGAGAGATAAAAATTGAAATTATAAGCTTGCTCAATCTTCATGTAGAACGCTGAACGTATGAGTCCGTTCATGCATCGTCTCATCGAATTCGCGTTCTTGCTCCAGATCAAGTGTCATTGCTGCCAAAAACGCTGGAATTGAGTTCCGCTCTCCAATGTATCTGAAAAATAATTAATTTTTAATTTTAAAATAACCAGCTACACAACGAAACATACTTCTTCATGAGGGGTTCCCATTTCCTGAGCATCTGTTCTGATGAATCGCTCTTCACATCTAGCATATCGATTCGAGAAGTTCCAAAGAAGTACTTGAAAACAAAATAGTTCTCGGATCCTCCTTCATATTCGCTTTGTACAGTACATATTCCTTCGTCGGCATCTTTCAATTTGATTTGAAGACCAGTTAGTGCAATACAAAGTTGGCGGAACTTGGAAGCAAGATCTTTATGAAGGTTGTAACTGTCCTCCAGAACCTTCTTCTCGCGTATGGCTATATCGAGACGCTCCTCCAATTCTGCGAACTGCTGCTCTCTGTACTGCTCTCCATCTGGGGCATCAGTCATCTTTCGTTTTCTACTTTCCGATGCTTGGAACTCTGCATGAGCCTCTTGTAACGGGTTCGTAGCCATGTGGAAGATCTGAGTATTGTTTCCTGCATCCGTTGGAGCAATTGATGAAGAAGGCACATCTGATTGAGTTGTAATGGTCTTGTTTAGCGCTTCGTAAAGGAGATTTTGATTTTCTTCTAACTGTCTTTTTAGCTCCTCGACTTCTGCCGTTTTTAATTCTAACTGTGCAGCAAATTGATCTCTGTCTGCCTCTAACTGTTGGCTCTTGACCCTCTCACTTGAGAATGCGTCTTCGAGACGCTCGTTTCGACGCTCGCAATCAGTACTTTCTCTCATGATTTTGGTCATTCGAGACGTGGCTGCAGCGAAGTCTTTCTCAAGCTGATTATTCTTCACAATGAGATCATTTAATCGGTTGATAAGCTTCAGTTGTTTAGCAGAATTGTCTTCTTCCGTGGAAATCTTCTCATCGATCTTGAAAATATCTCTCGCCTGACCCATTCGCATCGCCTGGATTTCTCCCTGAAACAAGAATCGTTTGGAATCTAAACATTGGATAAAGATCGAGAGTTTTCCATAAACTTACGAAAGTGTTATCCAGCTGCGATTGGAGAGTTTTGTTTTCGAATTCGAGCTCCCGATTCCTCTCTTCAACTAGAAGAGATTTATCTGCACGCCCAATTGATACATTTAAACGATCCTTAAGAACACTATTCTCCAGCAAAAGCCGTTGAATCTTATCGTCTTTCTCATAATCTATAAGTGATCGATTTGCAGCACATCGATCGGTCATCATGGTTTGGTCAAGCAAAGTGTTGTTAGGATCATCCAGAACTGTCAGATTGGATGCTGGAAAGAGCTTTCTTCGATTTACGTTAAATTTAAAATGGATTTACCTGGAAGAGTGAAGTTGGCGGAAGAAACATCAGCGCGTCTAGCTGCTTCAATCGTCGCAACTGGTGAGGCAACTCGACGTACTTCAAATACAGAACCTGAGTACTGTTGTAAACTTCCTGAAGCCAATTTTTCAACGGTTTCGTAATCATATTCGAAGTTTTCAAGAGATCTGAGCATTCTTTGCGGGATCTCATTGAGTTGAGCAACCTCTTGTTGGCTGTCGAACTTCCCATCATTGCTGACGTAAGACTGTACAGCCTCCAATTGAGCATTCGCGATAGTGTACCATGTGTAGTATTTCTTTCCGAAGCTAGTCCACATTTCTATGACTTGATTGAACTCTGTTACTGTCTCAACGTTCTCTCGCTTGAGTATTTCAATCTGCTCTTTCAATTCTATTACACTTTCTCGCATCGTCTCCAAGTCAATCATTTTTTCGGCCAGCTTCATATCCTTTGCTTTCTCGCTTTCTTTTAATCGACGATGCTCTTCTTCGAGAGCAGTCAGCCGTCGTTGTGCAGACTCTTTATCTTTTTTCGCGCTGGCCAATTCAAACGGGGCAGTGGAGACGACTTAATATTTACATATTTTTGATTGGAAAATTGAAAAAAAAAACTTACTCGGCGACAAAGTCATATCAAAATTCAGTTTCCGAGCTTCCACTGGGGCATGCTTTCTGAATGTTGACTGTCTAAGTTTTTTCTCGGTTTCTGCTTTTAATGGAAACTCCTTCTTGAATTGTTTCTGAATTTCATCCTTGAATAACATCGTTGCTTCAGACTCCTCATACTCATCATCGTCATAAACTTCATCATCGGAATTCATGCTGCAAGATATTCTTGGTTTCGATATATTTGTTGTCTAATTAAAACAACGATATTGTGAACGTTTTTGCTATTGGTTTCAAACAAACAGAAAACAAAGCGAACAGAAAAAAAATCAAAAGCTCCGCCCAGTTTTCTGTGCGGAGGCTGTCGTTGCAAGTCCGCCGCACACTTTCTTTCGTGATTAGTGGCTGACTGTTCTTCATTGATTTGAAGTGTTTTTTTTGGTAATTCGATTGGTTTCAGGCAAAATAGTTCGATAAATAGTATAAAACCTGAAACAAACATTTTATTTGATTTAAACAGTTATTTTTTCAAACATCAATGTTTATTGAATGATGCAAGGTGCGGAATTCAGGGTTCATTTACAGTTTAAACATGGATTTGGATTTGAAGATGACATATAAATTAGACAGACGAATGGGCGAAAAGAGTATCTTTAGGTCTGTAAAGCTTTCACATAAAGCTCTATTCCTTGTCAGCAGCAGTCTTCTTTGGAAGGAGAACAGCTTGGATGTTTGGAAGGACTCCTCCTTGAGCGATGGTGACTCCGGCCAACAGTTTGTTCAACTCCTCGTCGTTACGAACAGCGAGCTGGAGATGGCGTGGAGCGATACGAGTCTTCTTGTTGTCACGAGCAGCGTTTCCAGCGAGCTCGAGCACTTCAGCAGCAAGGTATTCGAGGACAGCGGCCAAGTAGACCTGGAAAATATTTTGATTCAAAAACGAGTGTTTACCCATGATGTGGTTTCCAATAATAGACTTGACGAGAACAATAATATAAAGTTAGCATCACCTACAGTAACCCGAAAGTTTTATTCTGAAAAGAAACTCACCGGGGCTCCGGCTCCAACACGTTGGGCATAGTTTCCTTTACGGAGAATACGATGAAGACGTCCGACTGGGAACTGGAGTCCGGCTCTCGATGAACGAGACTTGGCCTTTCCTCCGGTCTTAGCTTTTCCTCCCTTTCCACGTCCAGACATGATTGAAGAAGTTCTGGAAAAAAGTAACGAATGGGATAAATGGATGATTTGGAAGCAAGAGAGAAGCAAAAAAGTAGGACAAGCAGGCAAAGGAATCGATCCGAAAAACGCTTTCGCGACACGCGCTCGCTTCTCCTTTTATACATTTCGTCCGGTGGGGGCGGAGCCTTGTTCTCGGTGGCGAGAGGAGGAGGCCACCGCTGGCGCAGTATAAAAGCGAAACGCGACGCACACGCGAAGCACTAGTGAAACTACATCGATTCGTCTCGTTTCGTTTTTCCTCTTCTCTCTGTACAATGGCCCCACCAAAGCCATCCGCTAAAGGAGCTAAGAAGGCTGCCAAGACCCAGAAGCCAAAGACTGACAAGAAGAGAAAGCATGCCAGAAAGGAATCCTACTCCGTCTACATCTACCGTGTCCTCAAGCAGGTTAGTTTGACCCAGAAATGATGTTATTTAGAAAATTACGAAATATATAATATTCCAGGTTCACCCAGATACTGGAGTCTCCTCGAAGGCCATGTCCATCATGAACTCCTTCGTCAACGACGTCTTCGAGCGCATCGCCTCCGAAGCTTCTCGTCTCGCCCACTACAACAAACGCTCCACCATCTCATCTCGTGAAATCCAGACCGCCGTCCGTCTCATCCTTCCAGGAGAGCTTGCCAAGCACGCCGTCTCCGAAGGAACCAAGGCTGTGACCAAGTACACCTCCAGCAAGTAATCCGATTGATGATCTCCCAATAATAAATTCCTGTCATCTTCATTGATCCCTATATTTATTTGTGAACTTGAATATTTACCATCTATTTAATCAATAAACCATTAAAACTTTGATACTGTTCTTCTGGGAAGTATTCTGGGAACCAGGTGGCTATGAAGAGACTCCGCCCCTCCACCGTAGAAGGGGTCATAAGGAGGGCGCAACAGCGGAATTTTGTGTCAGTCTGTCTGCCTACACCCAACGTCAATTATGCCAAAGAACACCAAGAAGAGCCAAGGAAACAAGAAGCTCCAGCTCAGCGATAAGCAGTTCGCGGATCTGCTAAAAGAGGTAAATATTTCTTTAACTGTTTAAATTTGAGCTAGAACTGTTATAACAGTTGTTACAGTAGCCACTAACAATTCCAATTTTCAATTCGACAAACTGTTTCGCAAGATTTATTGATTTCAGATTGGTGGTGGTCTTCCAGAAGGCTTGGCTCTCGACCCAGCTCTTCTCGGCGCTCTTCGTCAAGCCACAAACGATCAGTTCAACAAGGTGGCCACTGAGAAGTATGGAGAGATTCCATCCGATGAGGAGGAAGAAGAGATGGAATCCGAACAACAACAACAGTCGACTTCTGGACAGAAGAACGATCAGCAAGGAAGCTCCAACAATGCCTAATTTCTAACCGAAGTTTGAACCATTTTTATTGATCTCTAAATCACTGTTTCAATAAATATACTCATACACAGTCGCATTTTTCTTTAACCACATCACACAATTCAGATTTTCCTCTGCCTCTTCTCCATATTCAATACACACATCTCTAGTCGTCGAGTTTTTTGAACAGATTTCCCGCGTCTTTCCATCGCGTTGCACGCCATGCCGTCGGGTTTGCGTATCTTTCGGGCATCTGGCGCTTCTCCAGTATGTGTCCCCGCAGGGTGGTTAGGTTTGGCTCCGCCCATGTCCAACGGAGAGAGAGGAGTATATAAGCCAAGAAGGGGTACGTGACGTTTGTCTGTTTACCACCGTTATTCTTCTTTCTTAAACTAAATTTTAACAATGTCCGGACGTGGAAAGGGAGGAAAAGGTCTTGGAAAGGGAGGAGCTAAACGCCATCGCAAAGTCCTTCGTGACAACATCCAAGGAATCACTAAGGTAAGAATTTCTACTTTTTGGCTGGAGCTTATAAGCTTGTTTATCACAAATATCAATTTTCAGCCAGCTATTCGCCGTCTCGCTCGTCGTGGTGGAGTCAAGCGTATCTCCGGACTCATCTACGAGGAAACTCGTGGAGTACTGAAGGTGTTTCTTGAGAATGTCATCCGTGACGCCGTCACCTACTGTGAGCACGCCAAGAGAAAGACCGTCACAGCGATGGACGTCGTCTACGCTTTGAAGCGCCAGGGAAGAACTCTTTACGGATTTGGTGGATAAATCCTCTCCAATTTTTGTATCCCATGTAATATAATATAAGTTAAGCTCTGTCATGAAACAAGAACTCATAAAAATCACTAATAAATATTTATATTTCAATTTTTTCATTAAATTGCTAATTACATTAAAAGCCATGGCTACCGTAAATATCACATGAGAAACTGTAATCTGGAGAAAAGAGAAAAAATACACCGATTGCACAGAAAAGTGAATAAAATGCAACAAAATAATATTTATAAACTTTTTAAACCGCTTCTTCAGCTGCATCTCCATCTCGTCCCAACAACTTGATCTCGTCAGACTTTGCCTGGCTGGCTGGAGATGCTCCAGAATTTTTCTTATCCATAACCCGCTTTTGGACGTAGGTGTACGCGGCAGATCCAAACAACACGACAAAGTTGCTTGTCCACCTGAAAATTTCAGATGAAATTTTGAAAAAATCGTTACAGACTTACCATAGAAGAGTTTTCAGCTCGGAGTACCACATGACAGCCATCACAGTTTGCGTAGCCGCCTTTGCAGTTCCCGAAATGTTATGAGTCAATGGAGATGTTGCTTGAATCTGCCAGCCAGTGACGTAGCCCATCATGAAGCCGAAGACACCACCAAGAGTCATCAGAATCCAGAAAGTGGTATCGAAAAGATTGTCGAAGTAGAACACGGCTCCAAACTCTCCATTGAAAAGCATCAGCGGGAGGAACAAAACCAATGCATTCAGGTTGTTGTACATTGTGAGACGCCACAGACAGTCACCAACGGATGAGAGTACTCTGAAAGTTACTTTTGGATCTACTTTAACCTATTGAAACACTTACTTTCTAGTATAGATAGCATTAAGAGCAACTGAGAGACTCGCTAAAACTCCGAAAATAACTCCAGTATACGATAAAGATCCAGTTGCTCCTTCTTGATCCACTCCCAAAAAGAATCCGAAAATAATGAGGCCACAACAAGCGATCGCTTGTCCTGATGTCTTTTGTCCGAGGATCAGATAAGTACAGACGACGTTGAATACCGTCGTCAAACTGCGACCCACGTAGTAGAAACTGACGCCGACATATTTAAGACATAGGTTGTTGAATGAAATCATAGCGACAAAGACCACAGAAAGCGGTAACACTTCTCTGCTGATTTTGGCATCAATTGGCATAGATGGGAACTTGAAGATGCCATAATTTTTGGAAATTTTGCTTAACAGGAGGCATAGAAATACAGTAACCAGGCATTGATACCATGTGATGAAGAGAGGAGCGTCGAGCTGGAAAACTGGGAATCCGTAGTTCAGTCGTTCTATTGAGTACCTTACCTTCACACTAGACAGAAGATATTTGTTCAGGAAGACTAATCCAATTGAAAAGATCCTGGAAAACAAGATTTCTATTTGAGAAAAACTGAAAAAAACTTACCAATAGGCTGAAACTGCTGTTATAACTTGTTTATAGCTCTCCCATTTTGTTGGATTCTCCCGATTCCTCATGGTTGTGAAGCGGTTTAAACTGAAAAATTTGGGGTTGAATAATGGTTGTCAACGGAGAAGGGGAGGGCAAACACATAATGCGTGGAAAACGCAGTGGTGGAAGAGAATAAGCTAAACACTCGTCCACCATCCAAACCTAGGCCATCGCCAGAAATGATTGCCGCGGGTGTAGCGACATGAGTACATACGCACGCTTTGCTTGTTTCATCAGCCTTTGTTCAATTTTGAATATTTATCATTCGATTTAAACTATTTATAGGTGAGAAATCGATACGATGAAACTACTGCTGAATAGATGAGCTAAACAAAATGTATACTACAAACTTTGAAAAACAAGTTTAAACTTTTATTATTTATCGATATTTTCTAAAAATTTCAATTTCGAAATTTGAGCAACCTATTTAATAACCACCAGCTTTTTCCGATTAATGCGAGCTTTAAAAATTTGTTCGCTGAAATATATTTCGGCACAAAAAATAGATGAAAATCGAGGAAAGAAGCGGAAATTCAGTTTCTTGCAAGAATCTCAAAAAGAAAAAGTCAAGAAAAAAAACTCAAAAACCATTCTGTGCATACACACGACGAGCAACTGCAGATTTCTACTATTACAGTAATCCCTGAGATTTTTCTGTCGCCGGTTTTCGTTCACCGATGTTCGATTTTTCAAGCGCTCCTGATTTCTGTAAAGCCTCAAAGATATCTAAATATTTCTGTTCATATTTCAAAAGTTACATGACTTAAAAAAAAAGATTTTTCTGAATCTCAAAAAGATGTCTCGAAAAAAAAACTCAAAACCATTATGTGCATACACACGACGAGCAACTGCAGATATCTACTGTTACAGTAATCGCTGATTATTTTTTCTGTCGCCGGTTTTCTTATGCTTGTCTAAGAAAAAAAGGTTAGAGAATATTTTTTGCAGTCTGAATACGGTAGCGATATCGAAGCGGAGAGCCTAAATAGCACACAAACGGTGCAGACACTTTTTCTCTCCGTCTCAACCTTTTTTTCTCAGACAAGCATAATCGCTATCGCCAATTTTTCAATTTTTCGAGCGTTCCTGATTTCTGGAAAGTCTCAAGATATCTATTTCCGTTATTAACTATTGTTCAGCTTGGATGTATGATAATGTTCACTTTATTACGATATATTCACTCATTCTCACAGAATGTGTAAATCTGTATCACTTCTCTCCCGATTGATTCGTTTTCGAAGCTTCTGTTTATCCAGGAACACTTGAACTCCGACGCCGCGCTTGGCAGAGTTAGTGTAACGAGTCGCTGGTGGCAGCTGACTGATACATAACGACGAACACTCGAAAAGTAGCTCTTTAACCAAATGCTAAATCGAGGACCGATTGAGCGAGAGAGTGGTGGCAAGAAGCGGTCATAAATCTATGCATCGGTATAGTCTCTAGTGACCAATTCAACAGGATCCAGTAATATTCACTCATTGTGAGAGAATTGTTTACGTCACTCCTCTTCGTTTCTTTGTTTCCTATTCAAATGTACTGGAATTCTCTTCTTTTGTGTTCATTTCCTTCAAAAGAATGAATTTGTGGATTCTGGGCCACAAAACAGAGATAAGTAACACATTCCAGCCATTCTCTATTCGTTCGAAGCTTCGTCTCCGTATGCTCTTTTTTCTTTGGCTCTCTGCCACTCTCAATGTCTTCAACTCTATCGCCGCTCCGCTCATTTTATCAAATCTTCTCGCCACCGCCGTTGTCGAATGAGGAGAAAGAGAAGGGCTGCGCCCCATTCCTCTCAGTTTCCGCCGCCTTTCCTTTCTTCTTCTCCTTGTCTTCACCGCCTCTAAATTCCATTTCCGTACAAATGCAAAATTCCTCACATTTCATCATCATTATCATTATTACAGATGGCGAATATTCTTCGTCGACTGCGGAGATCCAGCAAGAAAGCTGCCAAGTTTCGATTCACAGTCACTCTTCAGGTAGGTTCTAAAATCGCCCAGGTTTTTTTAAAATCATATCTTCTTTTAGGAACTTCAACTTTACACCGACGAAAAATGGAAACCCGAAAACCTTGTAGTATCATTCGTCCATCGGTAAGTGTTACATTTTCTTATCATCGAGTGTGTCAAACGTCAAAAAAGTCTTTGGAACATTGTTGCAAGACGGAAAAGGACTGTAGTTTCGGAATTCGAATTGCTATAGGATTTTCCATCTGAAACCCGAAAATTAAATTCAACAATTCGAAAAAATCCTTTCCAGCCGTCGAAAAGTGTCTTCCAAAGAAAGAAGATGGGAACAATCATACTCAGATGTCAACAAATGTGTGATAATGTGGCCCGAGCAGATGACAGAGAACGTGGATATTCTGACAACTCTCTACCGTACTCCAGATGATGATACATTTGAAGATAAAGAATGGACAATCGTTATCGAAGAGCTCACAGCAAAAGGAAAACGAAAAGCCATCGCTGCAGTACCCATCAACGTTCGACTATTCATCCTGGACCTTCCTGAACATAAAAGTGAACTGAAACTCAAACTACGTCCACTGTCGCCTCATTTGAAAATGTGCTCCTTGATCATTCTTCTCGGCAGCACACTAATTTCAGAGGTTAGTGGAGATGATGTGAGTGTCAGCTCGTCGGCGGCAGCGTCCTTCGTTGAGAAAGTACCAGTGCCAGAGGATGAAGTGGATGCGAGTGTCAGAGATCCGAGGACAGCGGGTAATTAAAAAATTTCGAAACATTTCATTTTGAATAGGAGAAAGTCGAAAAAATTGAACGTTTTCCAGCTGCCATACAACAAATCGACTCAACAGCCACAAAGATCAAAGAATGGGCGAATGAGAAGAAGGAAGCATCTCCAGCAGTTCCAGCACACCGAAAACCATCTGAAGAATCAGGAGAATTAGCAAAAAGTAAGTTTTCGATGATTCTTCTATTTAGAAAGTGTTAAAAACCAGTTCTTAGTTTTTATAAAACCTATTATTTTGAAAAATGCGATTTATAAAGAATCTATAACAAATTTCGTCAACTTTTTTTCAGTTCGACCTCAATGGCGAGTTTCCGCAGAAGAGGAGAAATCATCTCAACAAGCATCAGCTCCAACACCAACAGCTCCAGCAGCACCCATCGCCACCAACAGACACAGTCGATCAAGTCGTGCCTCAACGGAAGAAAAAACGGCGACAACCACAGAATTCCGAGTGGACTCTTACTCTCGGCCTGTTCCAGTTGCGACGCCAATAAGTGCAACGCCTTCATACCTTCAAAGTGGATCTATGCATAGAGGGTATTATTTTTAACTTAAAACTTCTATCAAATTCTGCTTTCAGAAGATCCAACTCGCCACGTGCTCCATCTCGAGACGCAGTCCCACAACCTGTTTCAGGGGAGACTCTTCTTTCGTGGTGCCAGAGGGTTACTAATGGATATTCACATGTTAAAATCAATGACTTTACGTAAGCCATTTTATTTCAAATCTTGGTCAGTAACTAATGTATTTTTTCAGAAAATCCTGGAAGAATGGACTAGGATTATGTGCAATCCTGCATACGTATCATCCGGAATTAATTGGTGATTACGAATCTCTTGATATCTCAAACAACATGTCAGGCCAAAAAGAGAATGTTCAAAAAGCGCTGGATGCCATGTCTATGATGGGACTCACTGACATTCCGACTGTCGATATGTTCATTACACCAGATCGAAAACAAATCGAACTACTCCTCCAACGCCTTCGTCGCGTTTTCGAAGGATGTGAAGACGGATCCACTCCAGCTAGTGCTTCGGATCATCGAATCTCTAGAACTTTTGGAATGACTGAAACGGAAGAGAAAGTTGTGGCAATGATTGCGGAATTAAGAAACAAAAAGGATCTGGAAGATGCTGTAGATTACACAAACATTCCTGATCAAGTAGAAGCACCAGTGACTCCACAATTAGCAAGTCGGAATCCAGCCTTGAATCAGCCTATCGACGATGACGATGACGATGCGGAAACGTCTAATATGAGATTTGAAAGAAGTAATGTGAGCATCACAATGGTCACACCAGGAGTTGGAACTATTCGTGCTTCGGTGAGTATTTAAAGAGGGACTTCGAACAAAAATTTTAATTATTTTTTAATACATCAAAATAGATTCATATAGCAAACGAAAAGAAATTATTTTTGAAAAACCTCGAAAAAGCGCCTGAAACAGCGAAAAACGACTTAGTTCTCGTCCATTACTGAAAACTTCTGGAAGGTTCTCGATTCTTTTCTTGAATCCCCGCCATAACTTAAAACTCTGTTTTCCATTTTCGACACCTTTCTAGGGCTACTCTAGAATTTTCCGTTATGGTTGGAATTTAAAAAACAATTCCAGAATGGACGAGATCTGAGATTTCTTCAATACTTGAATGTTTCGAGGTTTCGTGGATTTTCTTGAATTTTTCATTGTTTTTCGCATCTACCCTAAACATTTTGATGCAATAAAAATCATTTTTCTTGATCCAGTTTTTAAATTTGAAATAAGAATTTTCTAGTTACGATAACTCTCCCCTTCTCTAAAATATATAAATTTCCTCATATTTCCTAGAACCGGGCATCACCATCAAAACGAGATGAACTGCGTCAAAGAGCTCGCGAAATGCTCGAAAAGTCCACAACAAACCAGTCGGCAACACCAAACTCACGCAAAGGAAGCGACGAAGAGAGGCGGCGCGAAGAGGTCAGACGACTGCTCAACGAAAAACAGTCAACGGGTTAGTTTTGAATTTATAAAAACAGTTTTCCCTGCTGTGATTGTAGTGTATGTTCTGTTCGTATTGTGTGCTCTTCCCCGTTTTCAGCCATCCCCTCTACTTCGTCCTCACCCTACCCAACGTTCCGTCGTATAAACGGATCCAACACAGATTTGCGTCGTATTGGTTGGTGTTTATTTTCTTTTTCTACCCTTTTGATTTTCCTCCATTATTATTGGTATTGTGATTGGAGTGCAGTGTAACATTCTTACAGAACTCGATGTGCACAAATTCAAAAAGCGTGATCCATCACCAACACTCGTCCGCAAGCAATGTACTGTATCTCGATATTTGTAGTCGTATAATAATCCAACACTGGGTCAAAACATCAAATTTCAATATTTTCTAATTTTCAGATGATCCAAATGACACCCCACATGTCCCAGCGATTGGAAGGAGGACAAATGGCAATCGGGTAAATTGTCTATCAAATGTCTATCAAGACAAAACTTCTAACTTTCAATCTCATCGACATATTTCGTTTAGTTCTTTGTTCTTCTTCTTATTTTCCATCACCATAGTCTTTATTTTATATATGTTGTGCTCTTCTTCACGTGTTGTGCTCACATTACAGAACGATCCTGCAACACCTTCGACGTTTGACCGAGTGAAAAGATATGGTAGTATGCGAAGTGCTGAGCTGAAAGAATCCTTACAGTTGATGGCTAAACAATACGGATATATGGTTTGTGATGTTGTAATATTGTTCATGAAGCTTCAACGATAATCAACAAAATTACTAATTCCAAAAATGTAGATACAAGTTTGAACCATGTTGGCTTCCAGGGGAACGATTATGAACTATCTTCGCAAGACGCTCCAGCGACACCAAGTAAAAAGTTCTCGTCCCAATGGGAGAAAGATGTAGATGACGTCGAAGGAACCGCCCAGGAGCTTGTTCGTATCGACGAACGTATATCGGACATCACCCGTCAAGCTGAAGTCAGCTCTCTTAAATCTATTACTGATAAAGTTTAATTTTGTAGAGCATCCAAGACAAAATTCGTGAAACCGAAGTGGGAAGTTCGGAAGAGGAAATGCTCACCGCGTCTTATCTTCAGTTGACCAATGAGCGAAACACTCTGGTCCATCGTCAGGAGTACTATAACATCATCGAGACGATTCGTCCGACTATTGCTGAAATCGAGGATTTGACACGACAGATTGACGAGATTACTCAAATTGCTGACGACTTCCCACGTTCCGATGAGAATAAGAGAGCAACTGATAAGCTGATGGAGGAATACAGTAATGCAATGAAAACGAAAAGTAATTTGGTACGAAAGCTATTTGCAACCGAAGAAGAAATGTGAGTTTTTTTTGTGTCAATTCGGCTTCTCGACGTTTCCGAACCCGACACTTCAGAAACGTTTCAGAACTATTCTGTATCTTTGCATAGTTGTTTTTTCACATCAAATGAGTATTGCTCATTTTAATTTGTTGTTTTTTCCGCTTTCTATTTGTTCTCATCCACCGTACTCCGAATAATGATAAGTTCATACTCGGAATCTCACCAAAAATCTTTCAAAAGTTGAATATTTCAAAAAACAGTTTCATTGCTGAATGTATGTAAAGATGAAACTCACATTCGCTGGCAAATTTTTTTGCGTTCTTTTAGACTGTCTAAATTAGACACCTTTTTAAAAATTTCATTTTTTTTTCGACTTTTTGAGAGTTTCCGAGTGTGAACGTATCATTGTTTGGAGCACGGTAGATCGAATGAAAAAGCAGAAAGCAAAACAAATAAAAATGAGCAATACTCATTTGATGTGCAAACATGCAGAAAGGTTCAGAAACGTTGGGTTCTGAAACGTCCAGGAGCTGCTTTTTTTGCTTCAGATCATTTTTGAACATGGATTTTTCAGCGAGGAAGACTCGGATCGTCTGAAAAATCTGACACTTGACAGAGCAACACGCTTCGTCCGTGGAATCGATCAGCCAGTTTCCGCATCGAAACGACTGATTCAATGGTGGCGTCGTTAGAAATCTTTCAAACGATTCTCAATAAATACGGGTTCCTTTTTTTCCCTCTTCTTTGTCCATTAGCACCCTCAGCCTCGTTTTTCTTTGTTTTCTTTCCAAATTCTTTTTTAATCAAAACTCAAATAGTCCTCCCTCTAATCGTGATAACAATCAAATTCTTCTCCCTCCCCTCTCCTCTACATCTTCTTGCTATGTGTATATTTTTGTATTCAGTTTTTCTCCCCACTCGGTGCACAAAAGATCCAAATGCTTTCAGCTTTCAAAATTAAAAAAGAATCAGAGTTTTATAATGAAAATCAAAAATTTTATTCATTGAAAAAAGTTTTGACAAAAAAATAAGGCATACTCGTCAAAATATTACGGTAGAGATCCAAATAGGGGTGGAAAGAGAAGCAGATCAAGCTCGATTTGTGGAGAAAAATATGAGAAGGGTTTTTGAAAAGTAAATATCTAGAAGAGAGTGATATGGATACAAAATAAGACATATCGCATTTTTCGCAAGGGTTTGTACTCGTATTTACAAAACGGGAGGAAGAGACGAAAGGATTCAGAAGACTCAGGCGGTACGATATGATGCAGATGAGATGTCAGCAAGATCATCGTCTTCGAAAACTTCTTCACAAGCCAAACTGACGAGACCAACTTCTTCATCTGGTGTACTGCCAGAGTGACTGAAAATGCAAACTTTTCAAGGGGACTCGGAACAAAATTTTCATATATTTTTTGCATTAAAATGTCGCAGAAGTTATGGACGAGCTTGAGTTTTCTAGTCCCCCGCGGCGAAAAAAAGCGCAAATTCGAATTTTTTCTCATTTTTCAGTGTTTTTTTTTCAGATCTTTTCAGGGTTTTCAAGGTCATTGTTGATTTTTCTTCTGGAATATCTCGAAGAACTGGAAAATTTGGAAAAAAAAACACTAAAAATCAAGAAAAATTCGAATTCGCGCGCTTCTTCGCTATAGGGGGCTATAGTTTCTATAGAAAACTTAAGCTCGTCTCTAAAGCCAACTTTCGAACAAAAAGCGTTTTCGATGCGTTTTTTCAACAAAGTAAACTTTTTGATTTGTTTTCTTTATTTTTGGGTGAATCTACCGTAAACACTCTAATAGAAGGCCTCCCTAACCATCAACTTTAAGCTAATTTATCTTGGTTCCTATGAAAGATTAGACAAAGTTGTCAACTGACAAAATTTTTATCATAATATCACACACATTTTATCAGTTGACAACTTTTCGATATCTTTCACAAGAATCAAGATAAATCTGCTTAAAGTAGGCGGTTTGTGTGGCCTTCTATTAGAGTGTTTACGATATATGATTTTCTGCACAAAATAAAGAAAAACAAATATTTCAAAGATTTCAAACCTTCAAAGATTTCAAATCTGTTAGAGCAGACTTACTAGTATTCTGTGCTCTCCGATTGTGGACGGATATCTTTGAGAGTAGGTGTAGGATTCAAACGGGCGGAGCATGTTGGCTTTGCAGTTTCAGTGGTTGGTGAGGTGGCAACAGCAGATACTGTACGAGGACGAGAAGACCTTCTAATGAATTGGATTATAATGATGATCTATAAAAATGACCCACTTGCAAGTACTGAATAGTTTACTTCTGACACTTCCACGTGGCGATGATAACCATTCAGCTGCTTTTGTCAGATTACTACTACTTTTCCGTCGACACTCAGCCACTGCATTCGATTTACAGCAGTTGTGAACTGCCAATCCGCAATCCTTGCATTTGAATCCTTGTCTCAATATTCCCCATAGTAGCTTATTACAATGATTACAAGTTGTTGGTGTTAGGAATGTCGTTTCATGGAAATTGTGTTTGAATCCCCTTCTCAGATCCTTCGTATTCTTGTTAGCAGCCATAAAATAAGTCTTCAATTCATCTTTAGAAATCTGACCATCCATATCCACGTCAATGTTTACGAAGGCATCAATAAATGGAAAATTTCCAGCAATCAGTTGGAATTCTTCCTGAGAAATGAAGCCGTCTCGATCGTGATCGTAGTGCTTGAATACGGCGTCAACCATGGCGCTGATGTGTTTTGAGACGGTCGCATTGTCAGGAGCCACGGAAACTCCAGATGCCCATTCAGCGAAAACGACTCCTCGCGATGGCTCGAACTGAAAAACAATGGGTTTTGAAAATCTTGGAATTTTTTCTTGGACGAAGCCAACTACCGTAAAACCTAGGAAGACCCCTTAACTGTTAGGAGGACCCCTTAACTGTTGGCTTTATGCCAATTTATCTCGATTCCTGTTAGATATAACAAGTAGTGAATTTCAAAAGTTTTAATTTTCACATCAAAGTACTGAAATTTCAAAAATTTTTGTGAGCCATGTGAATCTTTTGAATCTCCCAAAAGATGGACCGTTAAGTTTTTGGGAGCAACGTTTTTTTTCAACACATATAACAGAAATATTAACACTTTCTGAATATTTTTCCCAAAATTAAAACTTTTGAAAATCACTAATTGTTATATATCAAAAAGTGGTCAATTAACAACATGTTAATTATAATACCAAAAGTTTTTTGTCAGTTGACCAGGTTTTAATATCTTTTGAAGGAGCCTTGATAATTGAGCTCAAAGATGTGTGTGGGCTTCTGCTAGAGGTAAACACGAAGAAACTTCGAAAATTTGAGGTCCCAAAATGTTTTGAGTTGGTGGCCGAAAAAAAATTCATAAAATTTTCGTAATTTCCTTCATGACTAGAGAAAATACTATATAATTTTTCAGCTTTTTCAGCGGTAAATTGAAAAAGTTCAGGGTTCTGGAAAAGTTAGTCGCAGTTCTACGATTATTTTGAAACTTCCAGGTCATGTGAGACAAAAACATGGCTTTTTCGAAGTTTTCCGGTCACTTTTCTTTTACCATCAAATACAAAAAATGAAATTCTATTTTAGTTTCATATTAGCGGCTTCTTTCAGAAAAATTGGACAACGTTACCTCTCAACCAAGATAATTGAGCTCAAAGGGCGTTACATCCTCTGAAAACTCACATTCATGAAAGTCTTTGGTTCCCTTCTCAATGATAACTCGTAGATATCATCATCACTATATCTGATATCCAGTGACACCTTCAGCGTATTGATAAGATCCATGTTCATCTCAGGTAGATTATGTTCCTTCTGATTGAAAACCAAAAAGTTTGACAGCAATTTTGCGAGCTTCACCAATTTCTCACTACTGATACATTTGGTTTTTTCAAAGTTGGCTCCTGAGCAATTGATTGCGACGAGATCTTTTAGATGAACACCTCTGGAAACACCGAAAGTTTAGAAAATTCTAAAATTACTGCTAAACGAACATAATGGGTATCCTGAATTTCTTGTTGCATGCTGCCAAAGCTTTTCGGTATTCACTAAAATTGTGATTGGCAGATAGCAGAGTCGTCATTTGGTTCAATTCCTTTTTAATATCATTTGACAGAATCGCATAAGTCTTGGCTAAGCGTGCCACAGAAGAATGTGTGATTCCTCCGACCACCGACATCAATGTATTGAAATTGTTGATTTTCCGGAGATGCTTTGCCACGTGGACAAACTTGACAAGAATCTCGGCTCGTTCTTTTGGGGTAGTCTTGTTCAGAATCATACATTGCACCCAGTTGGAAAGATTCTGGAAGAAAATTATTTTAGATATTAGATTTATAGTAAGAGATTAGACTTATAAGCTCAGAGATTAGAAATCCTAAATTATATGTATTTGGGGATTGGAATTTCTTTTTGCTAATTTTTGGTTTTCTTGGATTTCTGGTCGTTCAACAATGCCAATTTTTATCATGTTTTTTGAACGTTCTAATTGTAAGTTTTAAAAAAGTTATCAAAACCTGTAATAAAAGGGCCGCTTTGTTTTCAGTTGTGATCCAATTTTTTAGATTCCTGTCAGAGATATAAAAAAGTAGTCAACTGATAAATTGTTTATCATAATATCAGAAGTGTTTTATCAGTTGGCACATGTTTTGTATCTTGAATGGGAATTGAGATAGTAGAGCTCAAATTTGACAGTATGGGGCCCTTCTATAAAGGTAAATCTCCATTAGAATAATTTAAAAAAGCAATCCAAACTCCCAGTTATTATCATTATTTTTCCATATAAAATTCTTCTTATTTACTGCTGACCGAAACGAATTGATCACACTACAAAACTAATAATCCTCGTTTTTATTTATCCATCTATCCCTTATTATTACTCCCTGAATTCTCTTTTCCAAAATAATATTTACTCACATTAAAAACCGAAATACTTCTTTCCAGCATTGGACACGATCTCAAATGTCCGTCTTCACATATTGCTTTAGTTCGGTTATCTGGAAAAAGTATCACACAACATCATCATTCCGTTACAATCAGAATCTCACCGAAATCCGCGACAAAACACGGTAGTCGATGTGAGAAAGTGACGTGGAAATGTCACTAGCCGATGCTTGAACAAACGACAAAGAGAATGCAGTCTGAAAATGAGAATTGGTTGGAAATGAGATTATAACTTTCATAAAAAAGAAGATTCTAAAATATACTAGTGAAAATTTATGAGCAATCGGGAATGGTGGAGGTGTGCCTGGAGTTGGAAGAGTCTCAAAACCGACCCGAACACTTGTCTGAAACTCTTTTTTTTTCACTTCCGTAAAACCTTTAACAGAACGCCTCATGCTTGACCTCAACTATCTCAATTCCTAAGTAAGCAAAATATCAAAATAACGTCCACTGATAAAACACTTCTGATATTATGATAAACAATTTAACAGTTGACAACTTTTTGATATCTTTGACAGGAACTGAGAAAAATTGGCTGAAGGTTAAAAGTAAAAGGGCCTTTCACGAATAAGCGAAAAATCAAAGTTAGCGAAAAACATAATAAACGGGAACTAATCCATTTCTCAAATGCACCTTTCACAAATTCACTTCAATGAATCTCACAATTCTCAACACAATTTCAGAAGCCACAAAAAAACTTACCTGCTTAGCAAGCGGATTTCTTACAGACACAGCACGAAGCCAAGCGAACGATGGCCTGAAAAAAGTTTTAAAATTTCTCCAAAATCCTTCAAGCATATTTTCTTTACAATTAATGTTTTTTGGATCAACTAAATTAGTTATATTAGAACTTGACGAGTACTACAAAGTGATACTTTTTGGAAAACTGTATCTAGTCAATGAGCTATAAAGTGGCTGATCCGGCCGGACAGTGTGTATCATTTTAGATGGCTGACAACTTTGTTCATAGACAAGATACTGTTTTCCAAATGATAGTATTTTGTAGTACTCATTAAGGTCTATCATATCTGATTTAGTTGATCTAAAAATAGTGTTTCTGAAAGAAACTTTGACCTGCGAAGATCCGGCAGATTCCCAGTTATAAGGCTGCCTTCAGAAAAAATAACTCACAATGAGCTTACGTCCAACCCATTCCGAATACTCTCATTCACATCCTCTGCAATAGTTTTCAGTCGGACGACTTGAGCACAAACTTGCGGTTGAGCATCGAAATGCATTGGGAACTTTTCGATCCAGAATGCGACTGCACGACATACTGCTTCCCGTTGCTCAACGTTTCGGGACTCCTGAAAATTTAGAATTTGGATTTAAATTCTATTTAAAAATGTATTTTTCAGATTTAGCATACATCAACTTTTCCGTAGTAATTGAGACACACCGTATTTCTCTAATGGATACCTACACAACCCCTCACCTTGAGCTCAATTATCTCGATTCCTGGGAGAGATATCAAACATTTGTCAACTGATAAAACGTTGATTATATGATGATAAATAATTTATCAGTTGACAAGTTTTTGATATCTTTTTCAGGAATCGAGATAATTGCGCTCGAAGGTTAGAGTGGGCTTCTATTAGAGGAAACACGGTAAATTGAAAGAAAAGATTTTCAAACTACAGTAACCTATTCTTACCTGATAGAAATTGACGAAATGTGTGATGAGAGAAAGACTATCACTCAACCATTGATGACTCAAAAACAAGGCATGTGCGAATTGAATATCATCCACCTCGTCTTCCTCGTCAACATCTAAATTGGTCACCTGTGGGGTGTTAATTTATTCCAGATGATTTACATACCAAAACATTCCACACATCTCACTACCAGTTGATCTTCTGTCAAAAGTTCCTGATTTTGTTCCTCTTCAACTTTGCTCATCGTCGTCGTCGATGCCGTCTTTACGACGAACGATTGAGCGGAAGAAGGGAATGTCTGAGAATCTGAAAATGAAGATTTTGTAAAAGAAGGAGAGATTGTCGAAAAATTGGAAGGGGGCGGGCACACCAACAAGGCCATGAATTGCATGAATTGCACGAATTGCAATTTGAAAATAAAATGCGATAGGTCTCTTTTCTCTTTTTCTCTTCTTTTTTCCTGAAGCGAACTGCGTCTCTTTTTTCTCTTTTCGCGATTCTCGGATGCGCGCTGCTTTTGCACAACTCTCGCACGCCATATAAGGGGAAGAAGGGTGGAAAGGAACTGAAAAAGAAGAAGAAGAAGAAGCGAATGAGGATGAAGAAGAAGAAGCCCGAAGTGGTGGTGAAAAAGAAGACGAGTGGAGAAGAGAAGCTGAGAAATCGATAGCCCACGGGGCGAGAAAAAGAAGAAGAAAAAAGAGCACTGGACGACGGCTCCGGCTCCCAACGCCTTCTTCTTTCTTCGGAAGCGACAGAGCGCAAGCGGTAGAAATAAAGAAATTGATGGAGTGAGAGAGAAGCATAAAGAAGAAAAGTTTTAAGTCTTTTTAGGAAGAAAAAGAAGATGTGAGTTTAGAATAGTCCAATTTGGAGCCGATAGCCAAGAAGATGTAATGAGATGGAAAATTGGGAATGGAAGCTGCTTCAAAAGATATTATAGCAGGGATCATAGTTCAAATTATATGATACGGAAAGCTTGTCAAGCCTTTATAAATCTGAATTCTGATAGAGATTCTTACTGAACAAAGTTCAATTTTGCATTCGCCATCGTTATTGGAACTGATCTACAATTTCTGAAAATAAAGGGGGGAGTCTCAAAGTTGAGCTGAAAATGACTTTCTAGTTCCTGAGGTTTTTTTTCTGTTAGATGTGAAATCTGACAAAATGAATATCTCAATAAGGATTCACAAACAACTACCGTAAAACATGTAAAATAAGGGCCACCTGACATTAAACGTTTAGCTCAATTATCTCGCTTTCTATGAGGGATATCAAAAAGGTGTCAACTAGTAAACTGTTTATCATAATATCAGCAACATTTTATTAGTTAATAGTTTTTTATATCTCTCATGGGAACCGAGATAATTGAGTTCAAAGTTGGTGGTCTTCTATTAGAGGAAAAAGGTAGATTGTAAATCTGACAAAATTTACATTTCAATAAATATCAACAAGCAACAAACTTCTGCAAAACTTTTCGGAATTGACCACAAGTAAAAATCTGATTTTAAAACAAGGAAGCCAAAAACTAGGAATAGATATTTAGAAAACAAGGTCTTCTATTTTCAAGTTATGTCTATATGTTATCAAAATCTCAGAAATCAAATCATACCGTGTCATTAAAATAGTAGATGACCAAACACCTATTTTAGAAATACTATGCATAATTATCAAAATAATTGAACTTATTGACACCCAATGATCAGAAAATGAAACATCGCACATCGTAAAACCTGTAATAGAAGGGCTCATTAGCTTTTATCTATGAGCCAATTATTCTCAGTTCCTTTCAGATTAAAGAAAAAGGTCAGCTGATGCATTGTTCACCGTAATACCAGAAGTGTTTCATTTTCGATGTTTTAAATAGGAATGAGAATAATGGAGCTTAATCTATGCCGTGCGGGGCTCGTTTACCAGGTACAGTAGAACAAATATCACTTCTGACTCGGAAATTGAAAATGTATCATCCCAAAACGATAATAAAAATGATGATAAGCCCATTGAAATTGCCATAAAATGTTTTTCGTTCTCTCTTTTTTTCCACAATCAATTTTCTTAAAAAGAATGCAAAAACAGACTATAAAGATTTAAGCACGTCATCAAAAGTATTCAAAAATGTATAAAGAAAAAGACAAATAGGAACCAATCAATCACAGCAAAAAGTTTCTCAAGATTGACAAGTCAAGTCAACTTTTTGGAGCACTTTCTTTTGAGACCTCCACCAAATCCAGGGATGGCGTCAGTGACGGCTCATCCGCCGACCCCACAACCTGTGACGTCATTTAATCGAGACAAAATGATGAAGATAGCTGGGAGAGGTATACGGAAATAGCTCCGCTTATTTTTAAATTCGTTCATCTTCTTCTTCTTTTCTTCTTACTTGTGTCCTCTCCACGCCTTCTTCTCTTGAATCCTATCCGCCCTCACACGTCATTTTCATTTTCAAGAGAGAGAGAGAGAGTAGAAGAAGAATGAAATTTGAGAGAAAAAAATGAAGAAATGGAATGAAGAGCCAACGAAGTGTCTGTCTCTTGAAGACACCGAACATTTGGGATAGCACAAAAAAAAGAAGGGAAAGTAGAAAAAAGAGAAAAAGATGATTCGAATTGGAGCGGAAATAAAGTGTATGTGCGTCTTAAGATGGATTCGAAAAAAAAGAAGAAGAAAGAGTAGGAGGAGGAGCTTCAAATTGAAATCATGAAGAAGTCTCGAATGAGATGACGAGTGTTAAGAAGAAGAAAAAAAGAAAAGAGTCTCAAATAGGAAGAAGAAGAAGAAAAGAGAAGATCGAGAGGGTTCTTAAAAGTTCTCGAGTTGACGAATGTGCGTCTGTGTTCTTTTTCAAGTTTTCGAAATTTGAGTTTTTGATTTTCTGTGCTGTGTTTCATAAAAAGAGAGAGAGAGAACATTGAACATTTTATCGGGTAAATAATTTTCATTGTAATTTTTTTGTTCCAGAATTTTAAATTTGAAGTTTCAGTCAGAAAATAGCTTCCTGGACTTTCCCAGTAAAACTGAAATACGTCATTTTCAACTACCGTAAACACTCTAATGGAGCCTTAACTTTGAGCCAATTTATTTCGGTTCATGTGAAAGATATCACAAAGTGGTCAACTGACGAAATATTTTTGAGAATATGATAATCTTTTTGTCAGTTTGTTACTTTTAAATATCTTTCACAGGAATCGAGATATACAGGCTCAAAGTTGACGGTCCGTGGACATTCCATTAGAGTGTTTACGGTATTTCAACCGTAACCACGATTACTGTATGCTCAAGAAACATCACAGAGGCTTTCAAAATTTTAGGACATGGCAAATCTTCGAGCAATTTTTGAAATCTTTTGGAAAACTGTTCAAGTCTCCATTTGTCTCAACATACCGTATTTCCTCTGATAGAAGCCCACCCGAACCGTCAACTTTGAGCTCATCTATCAGAATTCATGGGAAGTTTTCTGATATGGTGTCACATGGTCTCAATCAAAAACATCAATCTTCTCCCTTTTCTTTTGTTTCCTTATATATGGGAAATGAGGAATACTGTGAGAAATTCTCGCCAGCAAAAAAAAAATCCAATTAGCCACATAGGAAACCGATTCCGAATCTAAATGAGAAGATGTGTGTGAGGGGGTACGTGTGCAAATGTATGTAAGGAATAGAAATGATATGGGCGGAAAAGGAATATCACGAGAGAGAAGGCAATCCGAACTATGATGGGATCATCCGAATTTATAACGGAAAAGGAGAGAATTTGAGTGGGTTTGTTTGGTTAATTCCACCAATCGACGTCACACTGTTATGATGTCTACAAAGAAAACAACACTCGATATCACTGTTGAGATTGGCACTTCCGAAAAATATATGTAGTACGGAATGGTCAAATCGAGGAGCTATACAACTGTTGAGTTGTGAGTTACGAGGTTCTGAGAAGTTCTGAAAGGAACTACCAGTCAATAAGATGTAGAAAAAAAGGTATTTTTCAGCTGATTTTTGGCCATTCTGATCATTTTCAGGTGTCTGGAGCTGGGCTGTCTAGTTTCCGACCACTGTGAAAATATTGGAGGCTGTAAAATTGACCTAGATTCAAAAGTTTTCATTGACAGAATTTTTTGAAAATTCCTAGTTTTTTAAAGCTATTTTCCGAGTACTGAAAGACACCCTTTTTGGCCGGTTTTGAACTGAAAACGTTAAAGAACATGTGTCTTTCACAAATCGGCCAATAGCTGAAAAACCAGGAATTCTCAAAAAACTCTGTAAAAAAATGGGAAGTTTCCAATCAAGGTCTGTTTTACACCCTCCAAAATTTTCCAAGTGATCGGAAACTTGACAGTCGAGCTCCAGACTCCTGAAAATGGGCAAAATGCCTAAAAATCATCTGAAAAATACGTTTTTGTTTATCCTATTGACCGGTACTGTATATACCGTAAAACCTTTAATAGAACGACACCCGGAACGTCCACTTTGAGCCTATATATCTCATTTCTTTGAAAGGTATCAAAAAGTGGTTAACTAGTAAAATGTTTATCAGGATATCAGCAACATTTTACTAGTTAGCCACTTTTTGATATCTTTTGCAGAAAATGAGATATATAGGCTCAAAGTGGACGATCCGGGTGTCGTTCTATTAGAGGTTTTACGGTAACTGTCAAATTGATCCAAGTCTCTGGATGTCAACCATTCTAGATCATGGAAATTACAAGTTCATAAAAAAAAATCATGACTCATATTGTGGTGTAAAAACGAATTGAACAGGAAGAATTGTAAATTGGAAAAATGGTGGATGGGCTAACAGATCATGCTGAAGAACACAAAAAATTCCATGAAAGAACATACAACAAGTTTATAAAATGAGGCTATGAGGAAAAAGAAAGAGAAGGAAAGAGAGATGGGGAAGAGGGAACTGAATAAACAATAATATCTATGCACTCCTACCGGGGAGAGGATGGGGATGGAATCGACGTAAATATTGAGGATGTGATTGAAATTTGAGGATCCCAAACGATGATGTTTTTATAATCAAAACCAAACTAACCTGGAGAACTCGGCAGTGGTATCTTTGATGAGAAGGACGACGGAGAATTGAATGAATTCAGAAACATCCAGATCATTCGGAATTCAGGAAGTTGTAAAACGGGTTATTTCGGTTTCCTTTTCTGGGAATTTATTTTTATATTTTTTAATTAGATGTCTTGCAATATAGCTTTATAGCTTTTCCCTTGGAAAACATACATATTTTTCAAATGTG